TTCATTCATGATAATCCCTTCCCACTACTTCATTTACTACTGATTCAGAATTAGTCTGGGTACAAGAAGCTTGGAACATTCAGCCTTTTTGCAAATCCACACTCTGCTAGGAAAACCTTGCCTTTAGTTCTGGATCAGGCTTACATTTGTTTTAGGCATTTATTAGCATAGATATTTGCAGATGTTTGTTTAGAGACAAAAGGGGGTGTTGTGCTTTGGAAAACAGCAAAAATGAATTGCATGTTTGCAGAGACCTACAGCATTGTCACACTGAATCAGGGTGAAACATTTCACCTCTCAAATATTGGTCCCAGTTTGACCTATACACTATTTCTATGTTTGGCAGGCATGTCAGTTTTTACAACATCTTATGGGGTCTTACAACAGCTCTCACTAAATACTGCATGGAAATAAAATAAATGCAGAAATTTGTAACTAGCTCCATGTTAATTTGTGATAATGATAAATTTGTAGCACCTCTGGAGTATCAACTGTATTACAAAAGTAGTTGATAAATAATTTCAGTCAACACTGACAAAGAACCAAACCATAGTAGTTATTCACAGCTTTATTTTTTTATTCAGAGCTTTGTGATGATTTGCTTGTAAAACAGAATGAAAAACAATCTTTCAGCATGGTGACTCATCTGGTCATTAGTCACACAAGAAACTAAACATATCTACGGAGAGAGCAGATTTGGAATTTTAAATATCTCACAATATATTAAATTGTTTGGATAGCACCTAACCTTCTGAAAATTTTAAGCTGAGTCTCCAAATGAATGAAGTATTGCATTAATAAACACTGTGTGGCAATGTAATTTATAAGTTCCAAGAGTACAGTCACTCAAGGGCAGTCCACGTTTGTTAACAAAACCATGAATACAGCACTGGGTGCCTACTGATGGCAAGCTGTCTGCTTCAGCTGGAGAGTGGGATGGCTCATTCCCAGCAGTTTTAGATCATCCCTAATAATTTTCCAAATGTTTGTAAATAATTTCCTGTCAGATGCTGCATTCCCAAGAAAGGAAATCCTTAGGTAAGGTTATTTGTAAATGGCAGGAGCATGTGTAAACTCCATTCACCTACTTTTGATGTGGAGTTTTTAGAGTTCCCTCCATGGCAATATCTCTGACCTTTCCTGATCAGGAGAAGGCCATTTACAAAAAGGCAACCTCCATAAGAATTGAATATACAACAACACCGTCAGCAGACATTTCTGAAGACAATACCTACTGCAGAGGATTAAATAAATTACATTTAAGAATATTGAAGAGCTATTGTCTTCCAAAGCTTGGAAAAATAACCATGTTATTTTTTTCCTACTCTAGGCCAGGGCTAGAAGTTCTTCACAAGTAATACTATCATAGATAACAAATGTAAATAATATTCTGATTTTAAGAAATCAGTACACGGAATGCAATATTGTAGGCTGCTGTACATTTTTATAAAAATACAACAGTCACATATGATTTTGGAATAACTAAGCTGACTCAGTTTAAAAACCTTAACTGCACTGTGCCTAGCTCTGTTCAACTCCTGTTTCTGTAGTCCATAGTTGACAGTTTTGGCAGCTACAGAAAATGTCTCACTCCCCTACAACCCCTCTGTAATTTAAAATACTACATTGCAGTTCATTCTGAGTCAGTGCTAGGTATGAAGTTAGAAAATCAGTTAGAAATAATAAATGTTCAAATAGAATACTGAATTTCTTGCTACTGTACCTAAATTTTTATGTGACAATTTATGACTCCATCTGCAGCTTTACTACAGACCACAAGATGAACTACAACTAGTAGATCTTTGTCTTCCTGCAGTTTGCTGGCACAAAAATCCTGGATGTTCCTTTTACAAGTAAGAGATTCTGGTAAGCTTCAAAGCTATTTCAGGCCACCCAGCCAAAACGGGCAAAAAGAGGGAAAAACCCAAAACACCAAACCCCAAAACGAAACTCCAAAACACAGCTACAGCTAACCCCCCAAATCTTTCTGTAAAACGCAGTGAGTTGGAAATGTCGGGGGCATCAGAGCCCGGCGTTTCTGGCTGCGGGGAGCCCCGGGCCCGGCAGTCCCGTCGGGGGTGGGTGGGAGGCAGCCCGGCGGAGCCATCGGTGCTGCGGGCAGCTCCCTGCCGGCTCTCCGTGCTGGAGGCTTTCCAGCGTCTCCCACCCGCCCCTGGGCGTTGCATCAGCCGGGCCCGCTCCGTTCCGGGGGTGTCGGCGGCGGCCCCGCCGCTCTCCCCGCGCAGCCCGCCCTGCCCGGGGGCTCACCTGGAACGCCCGCAGCGCCCCGAGTCCTCCTCGCTGCAGCTGGGGCACCGCGCTCCGCCGCCGCCCTCCTCCTCCTCGTCCTCCTCGTCCTCCTCGGCTGCCGCCTGGACGGCCACTCGGATCTGCACGGGGCCGCTCCCCGCCGGCAGCTCCGGCCCGGCGGGCGCGGCCCCGGGGTCGGCCGGCTGCGGCTGGGCCATGGAGCTCCCCGGCCGGGCTCAGCCCGCGATGCCCCGGGTTGCGACAGCCGCCGGCCGCCTCCCCTCCTGTCCCCCCCCGTCCCCTCCCGCTGGGGCGGCGCTCCCAGCTCCACTCCCCCGGCGCGGCCGCACGGCAGCGGGAGGGTCCGACCCTCCTCCAGCCATGCCGCCCCCGGGCCCGCCGGGCAGCTGAGGAGTCCTTCCCTTGACGGCTGAGCAGGGACTGCTTTTGTTTCACCAGAAAACAACGGGCTCCTCGCCGGAAAGCAGCGGTTCGGCTGCTCTTCTTCTCCTGGTGCAGCCTTGGGGCTGCGCCGCCGCTCCCTGACCAGAGCGTTGCGTTTCTGAAAGTCAGAAAGGTTTCGCTGGGGTAAGTGTAGTTTAAATGCCGAGGGTGAGATTTGGAAGTGAGACACACGAGTGAACAAGGACATGATTGGATACGTGCTGGTTTTGCAGAGGAGTCTCCTCTATAGCTCTGCATGGCTCTTACACAGAATAAAAACATACCCTCCTTAAGAATTAATTAACATAGAGGCCCTCTTTCTGAAACACTTAGGCAGTGATTATTTTGAATTTAAGACTATTGCACTATATTTCAGTGGACTGTTTCAGCTACTAAAGTGAAAATAACGTTCATGTACTAAATATTAGAATCAAAAGCTTTTCGATTTAGATTGTAAATACTCATTCACTGTCTGTACCCAAACTGCAAAATGATCTTTAAGTCACAGCTTCATTTATGGCATCCTTGTTTATGTTTGCATTGCTTCAATATTTTCTTCTTAAAAATTTGGATGGACAAAGAGTGAGACTGCACTCATGGCCAGTTCTTCTCAATACTGTGGCAAACAGTCCTCATGAGTCAGGTTTGCTGGCATGGACACATTCTGAGACTGCCCTGCCCCAGGCTTTGGCTGATTTTTAAATGTGCCTTAAGCAATAAAGTATTTTGTTTATGAAACATGCTTACAAGCACCACTAACCAAATCTCTAGTTCTCTGCTGATGGAACATTCTGTATTATGTCTTGGGTAATGCATCACTTTGCTATTTTTTTCAGTGGACACAGAAATACAAACGCAAATTCCACATTCTAGGCAAGAATATGGACAGGGGCTGTGGGTCAGATTTTGTATGAGTTCATGGAAGTTGTTTGCCTTCCTGGGCACAAACAAGGTCAGGAGTATGAACAAAGAACTATTTTATGCTACCCAAATAGCTAACCCAAACGATATTTGAGAGAGACCTTTCAGTTTATCTGATATATCTTTCTGTCAAGGTTGAGGGAACTTGATTTTATAGCAAAGGACACTAGATGTGTTTATTTGTTCTACCAGTGGTCTCAGCACAGAACTGGCTTTTGGCCAGATGAAAACTGATGTAATTTCAAACACTGTTGATTAGATTTCCATTGAAATTGCCAGACTGATATTTTTTGGGTTTGTTTGTTTTGTTTTATTTTCTTTTTAATGTAAGAGTGCTCTATAAGGCTTAACTTCCATAAGAGATAAAGAGGTATTTGTAAACACAGCAGAACTTAAAACTACATGTATTAATGTAGAGAAGTCCCTTAGAGGGAACCCATGGCTCACTGGTATGCAGTAAACATCCTAAACCCATGAACCTCAACTGCACAACCAAAATCTGCACAGATTTCTTATGGTGCATTTTCCAGCAGATGAAATATAAAATGACAATACAAGAAGCTAAACCTGGAATATTTATTTATTTGTGTGGCAAGGCATTGGAATAGGTTGGCCGGGGGGGGGGGGGGGGGGGATGTTTACGAGTGTCTGGATCTGCACTGGATCGTGTGGTTTGTGGTTTAGGGGTTACAGTTGTGGTGCTGGGTTGACATTTGGACTTGATTATCTTAAAGGTCCCTTCCAACCTTGATGATTCCATGATTCTGATTGGGAAAGACACCATGAGGCAATTGACAGCCCTTCCACACACTGGCAGCCACACCGTTATTTTTCCTACCACTAATTTCTTGATGAGTGTATTTAAAAGCATCCACTGTGCATCAGCAGAGCTCCTGGGCTCCAGGAGCTGCTGCAGGATCAGCACCAGGAGCTCGCACAGGTTGACTGTCACATTTTGTGATTGTCACATTTGGTGACCACTCTATGCCCACAAAAGAAAATTTCCTGAGGCACGACAGGGGCCATCCCGCTTCTGGCTTTGTCACAGATTTTCACACAGAGCCACTTGCTTGTAGAATTCAGAAAAATACAATCATAATATGTGCTTTTTACTGTGGGGCAGTGGGGTGTGGGCGACACCGCACACAGCAGGACCACCACAGAGAGCGCCATCCATCCATCCATCCGTCTACCCGTTCGTCCATCCATCCGTCCATCCGTTCGTCCGTCCGTCCCTGTCCCCTCACGGTTTCCCGCCCCTCACGGTTTCCCAGCCCTCGCCGTATCCCGCCCCTCACCGTATCCCAGCCCTCACGGTTTCCCAGCCCTCACGGTTTCCCGCCCCTCGGCGCCGCCCCAGACAGAGGGCGGGGCGGAAGCCGCGGTGTCCGCGGTAACGGCGGAGCCATTTCTGACAGGGCGGCGGCGGCGTGGGGCCGTGCGGGCTTGTTTGGCACCGCGGAGCTCTGACAGGCTGCTTGAGGCCGCCAGGGGCCGAGGGGCTGCCCGGGGCCGTGCGGGGCCGAGGGGCAGCGGGCCATGGTGCCCAGCAAGGGCCGGCCCGGCCGGGGCCCGCGGGCCGCGCCCGCAGCGGTAGGTGCTGAGGGGCTGGGGTGCCGGGGTTGCCGGGGCGGCCCCGGGGTGGGTGCTGCGGGGCTGGGGTGCCAGGGCGGCCCCGGGGTGGGTGCTGCGGGGCTGGGGTGCCGGGGTAGGTGCTGCCAGGGTTGGGGTGCCGGTGGGCGGTAGCGCCCCGATATCATTGTGCCGTGCTGGGAGGTGCATGGATGAGCCGCTCGGCTCTGTGCTCCAGTGAGATGTCTCGGTTTTGTCGCATAAATCTAGCTCAAAGACCAACATGTTTTGTCTTTTGAAAATACAAGGCGTGATAAAATGTAAATACTTGTTTTCTTCACACTGAGAGATGTATCCCTGTGGAAGCCACGCTTTCAGTGTATTTTTAAAGCTAAAACTAGTGTGATTTTTGTAAACGAAAAATTTCATGTTACTTAGAGCTGTGATGTATTCTTCATAGTATTTTGCAAAATAGTTCCTTTCTTGGTAGATTTTCCTGTTGAAAATAGCTTTATTGTTTAAAAAGCAGTTCTATGGACATGTAATATCAATATTGCAATCAACAATTGTATTGATATTTCTGAGAAAGGTAGCATTTAATTTCATCTTCTTCCAATTTGCAGGTTAATAATTGTGGTCTCCAGCTGGTCATCCAGACCTCGTCAATACCAGAAAAAACCAAACCGGTAATTATTACCTTTTCTTGGATAGCTGAATTAACAAATGTAATTGTATGATACAGACAAATTTGTATGCTTTCAGATAGGAATTACCTTTTCAGGACTCATCTGTTGACTTACAATATCTAATGTATCTGATAGTATTTTTTTATTTTATTTAATCCTATTAAAAACATAGGGTTGTACTGCAGCCTGCCATAAATGCTATATGTATATATATACACATATGTATAAATCATATATATATGATTTCTTAATCTTCTATTTGTAGCTCTCTCCTGTAATTCCTGAGAGCTGTTAGTACTGAGGCTGTATTTGTGTAAAGACATTATTTGCATTTGCAAACTCTTAACATTTGTCTATAATATTGTGTTACAGTTTGAATTCAGAATAAATAAAGAGCAGTCATCTTTCCACAATAGGCTTCTGCAGCATGATCTAGAAAAAAACTACTCCGGAAGACTAGGTAATGTTCCATAAAGTTTGGTTTGTCTTTTGTATCTGTTTTGTTCTTTAAAAAGTAAGGAAAGATTGTATCATTATTAGAAAATATAAGTGACAGTGTTTCCTACTTGGCTACAGTAATTCAATGTGATTACTGTTGCATCATGGCCTGAACCCACTGCTTGGCTTTTTTTCATCCTTTCTTTCCCCCCCCTTGTGGAAGAGTATTTTTTTCTTCTACCTACAAAGCCACAACCTATCAAGTGGCCTACTCTATATTCCCTCAATAGCCACACAATTGTCTAAAGTAACATTTTACTGGATGTTTGACATTTTAATATGTTTAGACAAAATTAGTTTCTAATTTAGAGCTGTGATATTGAGAGATAGTTTTTCAATTGTGCTTGCATGTTCTTGGCTTTGCCAAGCAAGATATTGTTGATATCACTGCTAACTGTGGTGAGGTCTGGAAGAGACTTGAAAGAACACTTCTGTCATGTGCTGCTGCTTGCTATGATTGGTGTGAGAAGAAGATTAATTTAGTTATCATGGCAACTCTTTATTGAGTCTGGTAAAAAACTGAAGGCCAGCAGCCATTCAGAATTGGATACAGTGCAAGTTCTGGAGTAAATGTAAGTCTGCAGTTTGAGTATTAAGAGTATGAAGTACTTTGGTGTGTAATAAACAGCTCTATCTCCCAGCGCCATCCAGTCTGACAGAACTTTCTGGTTTGGTGTTGAAGCAGAGCACAGGGTCTTTGTCAGGATTTGGGGAGGTTTCTATTCACACCCTTACAAAATCCAGAGCATGACAAGAGAGCCACATTTTTAGTTCACATGCTTCAGGTAACAGTGGGACCTTCTCATTAGTCTCTATTTTACTGGGAGCCTTACCGAAGGTATTTCCTAGTGCTCCCTTAGGATGTTAAGAGAGGTCCATAGACCATTGTCAGGAGACTGCTAGAAATCTTTTTCAAAAATATAATACAGGCATTGAAATGAATGTTTTTTATAAATCTTTCTTTAACATAAGGGCAGTAATAGGGATCTTTTACATGCCTTTAGGAGGATGACAGTAAAAAAAAGTCACTTTACTGCTATCCTGTCGTGTTGATAATTTTAAGTTTCTGGTCTTATGTTTATGGGCTTAAAAACCTATGACACAACTAAAGTAAGATTTTTGCAACAATGTTAATTGATTTTAATATTTTGGGGACTTGTTAACAGTTTTGATTTTGAAGGATGCATAGAGAATGTTGTTAGAGTAGCTAATGATAAAATTCAAGGGTAGTACTGAAAAGATTGTAAATTGACTGACAAATTGTTTTACTTAAACAGATAGCTAATAGTATATTTCACACAACAATGGACTCATTGCTATAGTAGTAAAACACTTATCTTGTTTATTGCAGATTTCATGTTTTCCCTGCTAACTTATTTGATTTATTTGAAGAGAGAGAAAAAAAGGGCAAGCACACTGAAGTCAAGCCTGTATTTTCAGTAGTGTGCATGCACAATGGTCTATTTTTGACCAATATTTTTCAGTGGATCATTTTCTAAATAAGCCAAAGCTCACAGAACACATTTGTTGATTAATTTTACAGGTATTTTTAGACAACCTCCCTTTTTTCCTTGTATATTATTGAAATGCATGAGGATGAATTTATAAATATGCTTTCAAGGGCTGCCTATTTTTTGATAATGGAGTGAAATACCAATGATCACTAGGTGTTGTGTGCATTTACCTTTGAAAGACTTTGCATTTGTTTGTGGCTCAGTGGGAGTGTTTCAGTATTTGATGCTTTATTTTTCTAGTTCTATCAACATCTATTTGATCTGTGTCTTTTTAAATTCATCTTAAGTTGGGTAATACCTTCTTTAAGTTCAGATACTGAAACTGTGAAACAAGTTTACAATTTTATGTTAAAATATCATTGGGTAATTCTAATAAAAATAAAGGCATTTACAAAATATCTGCTTACAACAAATTGTTGACAAAAATCTCAAAGTAAAGAAATAGATGTGCTTTGGAAATAGGATGTAGAGGGATATAGTCATAATATCAGGAAAGAAACTGATAGATCACAGTACTGAATGGAGGCAAAAAGCCCTTTCAGGCTTTACTTTTTATAAGAAAGAAAATTTTGCTTTTATCACCTGCAGTTCAAGACATGCATCTACAGAGCAGTAGTTCACGTGTTCTCTGTATGATTTTCCAATAGATAACACGAACTTTGGGAGCAGTTCATCAATATCATTTCCTGTATTGCAACGTACTGCTGAAGAAAAAATCCTGAACTCAGACAGACTTACCCTGGAAAGGTGAGAGGGTGACAGAGCACACACCCCAGAGCCCCAGGCCCTGGTTTAAAGTGACCAGAGTGCCCCACTAATGGCTGCAGTCAGTGGTGGGATTGGATTGTTGGGTTTGTGTGTGTGTGTCTTTGAAAGAAGAACTGTGTCCCATGGAGAAAGTCTCTGAGAGTGTCCCTGTGATGAGTATTTCCATAGAGCTGTCACCTGAGGCAGGCAGATTTCTGACCTGAACAGGCTGTCCATGTGATAGCTGAGGGAAAACTTAACAGAGTGTGAGACCATGTCTGTTGGAATTTTAGTGTGGTCACAACAAAAAACTTCCATGTAGTTTCTGTGTAACGAGCAAATCTCGAGAGGAGAGGGGTTCAGAAAATTTTGGCAGTATTTCAGCTGTGTTTTCAGGCTAGTTTTTTAATAGGCAGGAGCTTCTGCTTTATTGATAAAATTTAATTAGCAAACCTAATTAATGCTGTCTTTACCAAGATAATATAGTTTTCTCTGTTCAGTCAGAGTGGGTGAGCAGAAGGTGAATTACTGATTTGTTACTTACTTGTGTATTCTGTTTTTTCTTTTCTCTTCCAGGCAAAAGCTGACAGTGTGCCCAATTATCGATGGGGAAGATCACCTTCGTCTTTTGAATTTCCAGCATAACTTTATAACTCGTATCCAAAATATTTCTAATCTTCACCATCTTGTTTTCTTAGATTTATATGATAATCAGATTGAAGAGATAAGTGGGGTTTCAACTTTGAGATCCCTGAGAGTCCTTCTTTTGGGAAAGAACAGGTAAAAATAATAAAACCTAACTAGGGCACTCTACTTCCTATGGTGCAGCAACTGTGATTTCCCTTTGCTTCTGATACAGTTTTCAGTTTGTGATTTTGCTGTCATACCAGTGAGACCTGCCCTAAGATTAGCTAAATGTCAGGGATCCCACTGAGGAAGCACACAGATTTTGTGTGATGTCAAAGCTTCTTTCTTAGTAAATTTAAGCAACATTTCCAAAGTAGTTCACATGTTCCCATATAATCTTCTATTCTGATTGATTATTAAATATGTTCTTAGATGTGTGTGACATGTTGTGGAATGTCTTTTCAGATCAAATGTAGTCTTCATTAATTATTTATGACCTATAAAAATATTTCTGCCTGATATATTTATCTGGGAAACATACCAGACAGATGAGTCATGGATTTTAATGCTTATTTATTGCTTTTAGTCTTGTAGCCTTTAATTTTAATAATTTAATACATGCATCTGTGGAATTGCTCATACATCTAAAGGTTGTGCTCTGACTTTTAAAATTTTCCTCATTTTCTTATATTCAGTGAGAACTAGTGACCAGATTTCAGTTATGTGCAGATTACAAAGGGTGTACCTCCTAATTCAGCCTGTGCTCAAAACTGCCAAGTTTCAATAGTGCCACATGTTACTAGAGCTAGGAGCTTTTGTATTAAAAATCTCACCTGTAGAAATCACTTTTGTTTATAGTGAAATGTTGGGGTTGTGGATACTACAATATTCAAGTGCTTTGAGAAATTCTTTTCTTTATCATAACCACCCTGGGTGCAGTTTACCTTAGAAGTGTGGTGTTGAGGTAGATAGGACTTGGCCCACTAGTGAGTAAGTGGTTACACATCAGACAGAGTTGTACTAACTTGTTTCAGCTTGGCCTGTGTGTGAGCTTTGATTACTCTCAAAGCTTGATACATGTATTTAATGTCATCAGCCAGTAGATGATGCTGTTGGGTGTGTAATAGCCTAGGTTTGGAATCTGACAAAACATGACAGGACAGAGAAGTTTTAAGACAATGAAATTTTTGACTTTGGTTTCCAGTGGAGCAAGCATTCCATCTTTTTCTTTTTCTAGGAGAGCCACATAAATTTTGCTGCTATTGAATTATTGACAGTCAGAAAGGAAGGTGATAGTCTTAAAGTCATATTCATTTATAAATTTTCTTTTCATGGTTCAAAATGTTGTATTTCTGTTACTTTTGTTAGGAAAAAAAGGCTTTATTTTGTATTAGCTGGAAAATGAAAGATTCTTTTAATCTAATATTAAAAATAATTGTCATAACTGAAATCTTGCAGAATAAAGAAGATCTCAAATCTGGAGAACCTAAAAAACCTTGATGTTTTAGATCTTCATGGAAATCAGGTATGGTAAAATAACTTGGTTGCTTATGTTTGTTGTGTAGTAATCCTGTATTTGCTGGGTCTTCTACCAAAGTATTGTTTCATGAAAGGGAACTGGTGGCAAGTATTGGAGCTCTTGAGGTCACCAGAAGTCAGTAAGTTAATAAAAGGTGCCATGGTGTTTATTTTGAATATTTGTACCCGTCTCTTGTACTTTGTTGTACTTGAGGCAGGTGACAGTGATTAAAATGCTGAGTTTGCCAAGTGTGATGGCACTCCTACCTACACAACAGTAACCTGCCACAAGCAGTTGTGGTGTAGTTCAAGTAACACACTCTTAGAACTGCTGTAAAATTTCTTGAATGATTGATTGCTGTTTCTACTGCTGGTGGTCTGACAAAACCAGATTCCCTACATACATGTAAAGGAGAAGAAAAAGACAAGTTAGCACTGTAGGGACTATAGGTCATACAATAAGTTTGTGGCTTCTTTAAATCCCATTAGATGAACAATGAGCAGTGGCAGTCTAGGACCAGGGGATAGCATTGCCCTTGGGGTCTTGGCCATGTCCAAATATATTCATTCACAAGTGCTTGCTTGAACAACACAATCCTTTTTGTATTGCTAGTGGAAATTTGAGGGGGGGTTATGTCTGATAAAAAACTTGCAGCCTAACGCTACAGCTTTGGTAGTCAGCAACTTTCCCAGCACAAATGAAGGAATCACCAATGAAGATGAAACACATCTTGCACAATTCTTACAAATGATGTAGATCTGACATTTTTTTCCAAGTTTCTATAAAACTATTTATGTTTTCATCATAAATGTAGATGTGAAGGGCACAAATGTTTGGAAATGGAGTTAGTTATTTCCTTTTTTGGTAGATTTAGTGTATTTTTAATGTCAAGACCAAATAAAGACTAAGAACTTCCATAAATAAATTATCTTTCTCTTCCTTTCTAGTTCAAAGATAAGCATGTTTTCCTGTTTAACTTCTTTTTTTTCCTGCCTTTGAGGAATTCAAAATTTAGAACACCAATCTGCCATCCCACAGTATTAGTTATTTTTGAAGGCTTAATGAAGAAATGAAGGGAAGAAATGCTGTGTTTGGGATACATCTTAGGGGACTAGTGCCTTGTTTTGAAGTTGTTGTTTCCTTATATAACACTGAATAAGGGAGCTCCTTTAACTATTTAAATTTGTGGGGTTTTTATTTTGGCAGTCTTCTAGTCAATCTTAAATTTTAACATAGACTATATGGCAAATTTCTGAAGCAGCAACATAATTGGCTTTGAGAACTTCAAAATGCAGTTTCTCATGTTCAAGAATGTAGGACTTTAAACAACAGATCAGAGAATTTGAGCCAGATTTATCTCAGTGGTGTTCAGCAAAAGGAAAATAATCATTGAGCATAATGATGTACAGTATCTCTTATATGTTACCAGTGATCCCAGGTGAACACTGAACAATTAAATCCTGTGCACAAGTTATAGGCAAGGTATTGGAAATACACTAGATTAACTGTTGTTAACACAGTAATATAGACACATAGAATTGTATCATTCAGGGACTCTACACGTGAATTTTATTCTAGAATGCTTTGAATATTAGATGTCACTGGAATAATTTCCTGTGTTCTGTATAACTCTGTGAATAATTTTTCTTTCCAGAAGTTCAAGCTGTAAGTAAAATTAGGCAACCTGATTTTTTTTTTTCATGCAGGAGCTTCTTTTCATTAATCTCAAATTTTTTTTAAAGATCCAACTTTAATTTGTGCAATTTAATTATTGATGGGTGATTATTTGGTGCATAACAACCTTTTGCTGAATTTTATTTCATAGTGAGGTATTCAAAGATAGAAGCAAATGAGAAAATAAATAGTGTTTTTGTTCAGTGTTTACAAGTAGACTTTGACTTGTGTCCGAATTTCTTTTTGTTATTATATAAATATTATTTGAAACATCCAAAAAGAAGTGATAATAGCTTGTATTGTTTCTTACCTAATAGCCCATATGAAAAGCTGGTGTACCCTCATGTGTGCATGCATAATTGAAACAGGCAATTCAGAAGAGTTAATCTTAAAGCTTAGCAAAGTGGTAAAGAGTATTTCTATATGTTGCTGATGAAATCATTATCTTTGCAATAGCAGTGAAATACCAGGATTAATATTCTAGACTGTGGCATTCTAGCTGGGCAGACATCAGCAGAGCTCTGTGCTCTTCATGCCAACTGTCTGCTCTTGGGGTTGCTTTTAAAAGTCTCTCTGTATAAATATCTTTTAAATGGGGCTATTTTCTGTTCCTCTTGCTGTAGTATTTTCGTATAGAATACACATAAATGGACAGTTTAATTAGCAATTGAATCAGAAGTTTAAGCACCTTGAATCAAAGGTTTAAGACGTTATGTAATTTTGGCCTTGCTATCTACTTTTGTATGCTTTTTAACTGAGAAATTATTGAGATATTTCTTATAGCAGCATATTCCAATCACAGACTTACATGTACACATATATGTGTATGGATATATGGAAATTACCAACAAAAAGGGGTGCTCTTAAACTGTTGAATTATGTCTCCCTTACCTCTCCTGTTCCAGGAGCTGCTGGACACTTTGTGCAGAGTGCCATGGCCACACCTGCACTGCTGTAAGGCAGCAGGAAGTTCCATGTCAGTGACTCCAGGCACTTTGTCCTGCTCTGCACCTTGGCACTGCTGTTCTCCTGGAGGAGGGATGGAGTGCCTGGGCGTGGGTGCTCAAGGGGCTCACAGTGGTGCAGAGATGCTATTTCTGACTGACAGGGAATGGTACATACTGGTAGCTCTTTGCACTGCCAAAACCTTGGGGCTGCTCAAGTATTTTCCACAGGAAAACCTGCTGGCTTCTTTCTGCCCCCCAGCATGGGTTTCACTGAGAGTCCCTTGCTGTCCCTCATGCAGGAGCTGTCTTTCTCCTGGGGTGCAAGTCAGGCATAAATTCTGCAGAGGTGCTGAGGACAGATCCACACTGCCATGAGAAATAATTATCTGGATAGAGAGCCTGGTGTGGATCACTGGGAAATACTAACAGCAAGAAACAAACCTATACTGAATCGGAGCAAAAATCCATGCCTCTGTAAAATACAATGGTATTTCTAGAAATAAAAACTAAAATTAAGAAGCATTAGCTATTACTGCTCTTTTTATGCCTTTTTTTTTTTTTGTCATTATCACCTAAGTCTTTAAAATAGGTTATTAAGTATAAAAACAAGCTGCCTGCTTACTGTAATTCTGTCTTTGTTAGGTCCCTCCCTTTTCTAATCCCAGGAAGATAAGTGAGTGTCTTTGCAGACAAATTAAGGCTCAATCATGAACAAAATTCCCCCATTTTGGCATACCACAGTACCATCAGTGTTGCTTGGTTTTGTGTCTTCAAGGTTGCTGCTACAGAATAGCACAGCTGAAATAACCTGGTTTCTGATGGAATAGAAGGAAGTATTGACTGGTTTTAGCTGCAGGATGGCAAGAAAAATGTGTGTGAATGCTTGTTCTGGATCTCTGAGTATCATGGTTTAGAGAAACACAGGCACACCATTGTATGAAGCTGATAGTTCATGTATACTTTTAGAAAACGTGTCACATATATACATATATTTTATATCCATATAAAACATAGTGTGCATGTTTATTGTGTCTCTGACAGATTGCTAAAATAGAAAACATTGGTCATTTAAGTGAACTGAGGGTTTTAAACCTTGCCAGAAACCTCCTCACTGTTGTAGAGAACCTGAATGGACTGGATTCACTCACAGAGCTCAACCTCCGTCACAATCAAGTCTCTGCTATAGTAAGGAGAAAAACTCTTGTCCTTCTCTTTTTTTTTTTCATTTCCTTTTATTTGTTTTTGGCAAAAAGAATGGTAACTGTAGCTTCTTTAAACCATATCAGTGTTTCAGATTTTTGACATCTCATGTTTCCTCATATTGTGTTGTTTATATTTATCTGCTGCAATACTTAATTGTACAACACAAAGGTGAAACCAACACGTTCATTTTAGTATTATTTTCTTTGAATGTGTTCAGGGAGACTGGACTTAGAGGACCTTCAAAGGTCCTTTGCAACCCAAACTATGCTGTGATTCCATGATGACTTGGAGTGTTTCAAATCTTGAAAGCACATGATATTCCTTGGGGATGGGGGAAGAGATTTTGTGGTTCTAACATGCAAATTTAGTTCCTCTTCTGCCATACAAGTTCAAGTTCTAGAAACAAATCATCTCACTTTCTGTAGGTTAGCTAAGCCATGAGGCCATGTTAAATTTCATCTTAAGAATGTTGCTGGGGCAAATGCAGAGAAAAAAAGGTATTGATTGTAAGAGCAGAGTTTTCCAATGGAAACTTTAACTCAGCATTTTAAGTTTCATACTCTAAAAATTAAGATTTTCACTTTGCAATTTGAATTGTAGTTCAGGTATGGCAAGTGGATTATTCAAGCAAGAGCTTTTTAAAATAAAACAGATTACTTAGATAGCTCCCTTTCTCTGGCCTGCATAATTCTTCTTGTTCCTGGTCCCCTGTTGTTGCTGAGCGTTTCTTTTCTTCAGTTTCTGCTGTTTGCCAAATAGGAATTGTTTTTACATCTTAAAAATGAGAAATTTCTGCTCATTGCTGACTCTGTCACTGTACTTTCCTGTGTCAGTGATGTTACCTAGAATTCTCTTTGCTTGTAGCTTCTGCCTTTTCAGTCCTCTCAGGTGCAACTTGTACTTTCTGCTTGCTTCCTGCTGTCCTAAGTGGAGAGTCAGCATGAAATTTAAATTAGTGACTTACAGACTTGGAGGCTGTGCTGCATCTCAATGCTTTCGTGTTTCCTGGCAGAGACAGTGTTTCAGAAGATGATGTTCTCTTCAGGGAAATATTTATTTTACTTGTTGGCTTGTGGGGGTTTTTAACTGTTGTTTTTGTTGGTATCTTTTTGGGTTTTTACTCTGATTAAATTCTAATGAAATACAGTTTTGTGAGTGTGGATTGTTTTATTTTTCATTGAATGTTATTTTTAGCAAGTATGGCACTAACTCTGTGTCTAGGTTTTGGACACATACTGTCTAAAACTCTAAGTAAATATGGCCAGTAAAATAAAATATTTTTTCATATGTTAATGATAGGTGTTATCTTTTTTTGTGTGTACAATAATGTGCATGTGTTTCTTATATTTGTTTGATTTATTTAAAATGAAAACTACATTCCTTTTGTATGGAAATTCAGATTCTGCTGCAACAGGAAATTACTAAAAATGCAGAAATATGGAAAGATAGATCTCATTCTATGGAAAGAATACCCAAGATAGTTTATTTCTGGAGCACTTGAGTAGCTGAGGGAGGGGGGTTATATTTTATTTAAGATGAACTTTAAGTTCATGTGGTTGACTGTGCAGGTGGAGGAGATATTTTAATCATGATGTTGTTATGCTTTAGCACTTAGCTGCAAAAGATTCACTCCTAAGCTCATGAAAAGAATTTGGTTACTGTGCTTTAGTTAATCACTTACTGTGACAATGCTTATTATGAATCAAGCTTTTTAAACTTGATTATTCCTTCAAATGAAAGAATCTAAACTCAATTTTAAAAATAAATTGCTGTTCTAAAATAATTTTTAAAATAATTCTGTTTTAAATAACTTTGCATTATTTTGGTGAACCTTCCTTATTTTTCACATACATCCCTTTGACCTGCCCTAAGTGTATTGTTCTTGTGTAGGAAAAATTATTATCTCATTTGTGAAACAAAAATAAGGTTCCACACTGAACTCTCTACCCATTGCAGTTTACTGTATTGTATAACTAAAGTTATCTAGCAGGGTTGTAACTGGTTTGAGAAATTAAATCTGCCATCATCCTTTACAATCCATTGGCCTTGGACTACCAGTTTAGGGACAGTTTTTGAGCTTTTCACTATAGACTGAAAATCCTTGAATCATAAGCAGTTATTTTTGTAAGAATGAACTGTAGTTGGTTCAAAGCTGCAGGATTTGCAGAGGCAGTCCTGGGGCTTGGTTTGTAGCAGAAGGATCTTACAGGACTGAAGTGCATTCAGAGAGGCTGACTTGTCAGGAGAGTAGCAAACAGAAATGATGACAGAGAGTCTCACATGGCATCAAAAGCACAGATCTATGCATCCCATGAGTTATGAAATATCTTCTTATTTTCCATCCAGTTGTGAGCTGGGGCCTCTGTTAGGAAGATTATCTATGTTTTTCTTTGAAAGATTGACCTGCTTGTTTAATTTGAGGTACTAAAAATTTAGAATTTTGGGTTTTGTCATTTGCAGCTTGATCATAAACTGGAAGGAGCACTAGTCAAGGTGTTCACCATTTCTTCAAGAAAGAACTCTTGCCCTCTGTCCACCTCACTATAAGACTTTGTATCAAAATTGAAGTAGCTGGAGGTTTTTGGGATTTTCCTGCTGCACCTATGAGATTTGAAACTTGTTTTACAAGACAGCAACACATCATGCTAGGAAATTTGTCTCGTGGGGTAATTTATTTGTGTTCCCCAGTGGTTAGTTGAAATCATTGCTGCTTAAGAGTTACAGTGCACAACCCTATAATGCCTGTCCTCACATGTGTGCCCACCCTTTTAGGCATGAACACCAAGTAGCCTTGGGGACAGAGGGGACACCCAAATGCACCTGTTGTGAACTCAGTCTTTCCATGGTCTGACCTGGGAGGACTCAGAACAGCTCTAGCCCAGGAGTTTTGCACCTGCAGACTTGATCCCTTAATCCCTTTGTTCTAACATGTCATCCTATCCAGTGGTGACTCTCAGCAGCTTTGCTGGCTTAAATTCAGTGTTTCATTAATAGGAGCTGCAGGCTTTGTTAGAGCTGCCTTTGTTTACCTCTTTGAAATTAACTGTTCTGGACTGCTATGTAGACATGTCAGAAATCTGATGAAGGGAGGAGGAGATCTAGGCTAAAATCAAGACGCTGAGCTCTGATGCTCCTTTCCCTTTCCCAGGGTTGTATCCTGTGGTTCCAAGTTGGAGTGTGGCCATTGTTAGGGATTCAGACTCAGAACTGAGGGGTTAGGTGTGAATGGCTTGTGAGTCCCTGCAGACTCTGTTGTCTGTCTGATATGGATGTATTTTTCATAAATGAAGTTTGATCTTCTAAATATTTGCTATTAAGAAACTTACTTCAAAGACATTTAGTGCAATAATAAATTTAGAGTTTCTTAGTCTGTAAACTCATACCTTCTTCTAAATGTTAATTGTGAAGGTTGTAAAGGTGACAGAGTCCTTCAGATCATTCTCTGACTGGAGAGTCACTGCTGTTCACAGTGCTAATTGCACTGCTGTATTGCTGTATTTTGCTGTATTGCACCTTAAAAACCTTATTTCAGCAAGCTTTTTTTTTTTTTTTTTTTTAAGCATGTTTATCCTGCAGCTTAAATGCTGAGAGAGCACCTTGGCTTATTTCCCAAAAGGCTGTTCAGAAAGCAGCAGCAGTATCCTCCTTTCCTTTAACACGATTTGCTTTGCAAGTGATGCAGCGTGTTCTGCAGAGTGGGATCTGCACTGAAACACTCCCTTGCAGTCTGCATTAGGGAGAGATGGAGCTGCACGTTCAACACAAATCAATGTTGCAGCAAGGTTACAGCATTTAGAAATGAAAGCATTTCATCAGGCCAAGTAAAGAGGCTCAAAAGCCATTTCCATCTGCTGAATTTATGCCTGTCTTTTCTTTCTAGAAAGATGTGGATACTTTGCCCTGTCTCCAGCGTCTCTTCCTCAGCTTCAACAATATTTCTAGGTAAGGGGAATAGTAGTTTGCTTCCTATCAGTAATTTGAAGTATCCTACAGGAGCTGTATTTCATGAAAATTTGAACTCAAACACTGTGAGTACAGATCCTTTTTTCCTCCCCTAACATAGATCAAAAATATCATGCCATTGTGTATTTTCTACTTTAAGTAAAAAAATTCTTGAAAGCCTTTGCATTTAAATGTAGTTATACTATGAGTATTCTACAAAGAAACATATTTTTAATTGATTATCATACTGTTTATAGTGGTCAAAATTAAAAGTGGATTTGTAAATAGGTTGTTTTGCTGTTAACCTAGTTGTCTGTTAAAGCAGCATGATGCAAGGTACAAGTTATATTTAACATTCCATCACTGTATTTCTGGAGTTATGCAAATTGCTGAGTCAGATTCTGCTTGCTATGGGTAAATTATTTCATGCCTGTATTTTACTTGTCCATGTATTAATAAAGTCTGAAAGGTATATTCATGATTCCCTTTCAGACCAGATGGCAGAAGCAAAATAGCTCAACTCACAAAGCTGGGCTTCTATAGTTTCAAGTAACTAAGAGCATTTTGTTATAAATAGACATGTTTGTCTTCTGTGCCTTTTCATATTAATGCATTTTTGAAGTCTGCCTTTATACTCATGCCAGTATTTGAGAAAAACCCTAAGTGCCTGCATTATCTTCACTTTGGTATGTCCTTTTTTTAATCCCTTGATCACCAACAGCTTTCTTTGTTTAGAATCAAATAATTAAATGTGGGGTAGGGGAAGATGCTTCACGTTCTAATTACTGGAAATGCCATGCTATTCTTGTGGTACCTGCTTTCTCTGTAGAATGTACTTAGTAGGAGCTTTTATTGTAGCAGCTACTCAAACATTTTAAATTCACCTGCACCTATGTGTCTTGCAGACAGCTCCAACCTACTTGTCTGTGTTTCTTAGGTTCTTAAAGTACAAATGCAGTACATCTTAAATACTCATGGCTGTTAAACACACAAAAACAATTCAGAGATGAACTGCAGGAGTCTTTCTTATGCTCTTCCCTTAGTTAATTTGCTAGTCTTTTTATTTTACATTTTAATTTGGTGTGGTGAAGAGAAGGGGTTAGCATTTTGCTGCTTTTGAATCATTTCCAGAATTGAGACTTGCCTTTGTTTCTGGCTTTCTAAAAAAAGTCTCAGGTTGGCAGGAGCAAGGAGGAGACTGCAGCAGCTTGGCTCCCTGGCTGTCAGGGAGCATCACTGCAGTCAGGGAAATTGCCCTGTCTTTTTATGGACTTGGTGCCTTTTGTTGTAGCTTTCTGGCTTCTTTCACATATTGTTTTATGCAAATGCATGTTATTTTTACAGTGCTCAAAGAAAGAAAAATGTTTGGAATTTTCTGTGAGGTTTTGACAGATATCTCAAAGTTTGTGATCAGTAGCTTGCTTCTTGGTACTATATTAAAAATTCTGTCATTTATCCATGGGGGCTTTAGTTGGTCTATTGCTTAGGTTTCTCATAAACTACAAATACTTATCTAGAACATATATGGAAATAAATAATTTAGTTTGAGTTTGCAGCTGGAATAGGTATCAAAAAATCTTAATGTTAAACAAAAGATATTGCTGTTCTATAAACTTTGATTATGCATATCGGTAGATAGGTGGATGGATATCTTTAACTCTCTATTTACCAGTCATTATTTTAAACCACACAAATGAAAAACTTCTTTTAATCACATTCAGCTTGGAGTTTTTTTAAATAATAAGCTTTTACTACATATAGCAGTTCTGAAGGCTAAAACCCTCTGTAATTCCTTATTCAGGGTTATATAGTAGATATGTTTTCTACCAGGGAAGTTATTAAATACTATATATTTAAGTATATTCTTGACCATCTGTGATCTGATGCTTGGGTTGATACTCTTTGAACTGACTGAGGAAGTTCTTTGCAACCAACCAGTGAACTGCTGTGCTCTCTCTGACCATTCCTACACCCTTTTAAATGGTTTTGTATGCTTTTGAGTCACTTACCCCATTTACTCTGGGCCATAGAGTAATTTGAAAAATTATTTTTCCTAAAAACTACTCTGTCTATACAACTGAATTTTGTTTGACAAGCAAATTGGTGCACAAATACTCTTAATTAATTTATCTGTAGGTGCATTAAAAAAACCCCTGCAAATTAAAACAAACAACAAAATTGCCAGAACTTGAATATATTTGTTACCATTGCATTGCAATACTTCATTAATGTTCATTTTTTTAAATAGCATTTCTGAAGCAATGCTTCCATGGAAGGATTTTCTTGTTTCTACTTTTGTGTCAGTGAAAATATTTGAGTCTTAAATTGACACATGCTGACATATTGAATTAATATTTCAGTAGAAGACTCAGGAATGCCATTAGAAATTGTCACTATTTTAGGCATGAGGAAATACCACGGGTTTAATCACTATGTTCTTTTTACCTCATACTTCAGAGAAGGGCTCAGGATGCTGCTGCTTCTCTGCAGAACTTTTAGTAAAAATGGATATATTACCAAGATAATGTAAGCTAAAACTGAACTTGGTGCTGTCAGGAAACAAAGGAAGTCCTGTTTTTGGCTTCAGCCCAAACAATCTTAGTTACACTCTGAAGATGTTTATACCTGATGGCTGAATGCAATATCTATATATAGAACTGGTTATAGAGAAATGGGAGAAATTCCATTTTTAAATTGTCATGTGGCACAGGGAAGAGATTGCAGTAACATTTGCAGGCAAGATTTGCCACAGAAAGAAGGTTATTGCTCATGTTTGAACATGTGAAACCAGGAAAGACCATTTTTTAATCTTGGAAGCATAATACATATTTTCAGTGTTACACTGCTGTCCAGGTCAGCATTATGTTGGCTTTTTCATTTAATCTAGGCATATGGAATGAGTTGGATACAAGCTCATGTAATTTTGGTTCTTCATTTTGTTGCTGAATTGGAAACCTGAGAGAAGCAATGTTCTTAACCTAATAAAAAAAAGAAAGTAGCTTTTTACTCAGCAAGATGAAAATTTATAAATGCATTGTTAAATGCTTGAACAACAGCAGGTAAAGGGGAATGAAAGGTTGATGGTAGTTACATCTGCTCTCATAGGTAGTTCAGTAGTTAGAGACATGGAAAAACACAAGTTTTCTTCTTTGGGTATTTTTGAACACAGAGTTCCCTCTCAGGTGTTCTTTCATAGTAAGTATGTTGCCTTCCTTCTCTGTTCCAGAGCTGTTCCCCTTTGTGCAATGTGCTTTTAAAAGTTGATGCAAATGCGTAGAGAAGGAGCAATTGTCTCCCTAAAAAGCAGATTTAAACAAAAGATAAATATTCCTGTGTCCTGTGCATGTGTTTCACTGGTGCAGGCTGAGCTCCAGAGTGCTGTGCTGTTAGGTAATTGCTGCATTCTGATGTGAGAAATGGGTTTGAGTCCCTTTGGCAGAGGGGAGAGCTGGATGCAGGACTTGGAGCATCAACAAAGATGGAAAACTGATCTATTCTCAAAAGATTTCCAGAAAACACTTTGTGATAATTTAGCCCAAATTTGTGACTTATATCTGTGTTGCTGAAATGACAATTTTAGCAAAGATAATTTATGTAAGAAGAGGAACAGGAATGAGAGGTGGTTGTGTCCTGCAGGAGGAGATGTTTTGTAAAGAGAATCAGACATTCCATGGAGAAGATTGGCTGAGGCAGTGTGACACAGCACCATCCAGAGCTGCTCTGTGTTTCCTGAGCAGGTTCAAGGCTCCTTTGTGGGGAACAGAGGCTGGAGACAGAGCCTTGGGATGTGGCCTCTGGTTTCTGTCAGGTGCTCACCACGGGGCTCTGTCCCAGCAGTCTGCAGGCTGGGAAGCAGCAGAAGCTTGGTTGTAAATTGTGCAATCTGTTTGGGAATGCAGCGCATTAAAGCTTTAATTAGTTTAGGATTAGGATACAGTGTGACAAGTACAGTATATGAACTTTTCTGTATGGAATTTCTAAAGCTCAGGGGTTTTGTATGCATATAAAAGATGTGAAAACAGTTTTTTGCGCTATTGTTTCTTTCTAAAACTGATCTGCTAATAGGGCAGCTAAAAGCAGGATAAAGCAAGCACATCTGTTTTTAGGTCCAGAGTGAATGTTCTGGCATGCTGAAGCAGTGAGAATTTCAAAGCACAGCAGTATGTGTAAGTGGAAGGTCTTGAGAACACACTAGCAAGCTTTCAACTTTTCTGTCGTTTCCTGAAGAAATTTGTTTTATTAAAAATCTGTAAATCAGATGTAATGAAAGAAGTACTGTTTGGTTAAATGTTTAGTAGTAAGTACTCAGAATAAATATATTTAATGCTTTTAAATATACTTTGAAATAATTTTGAAGACCAAAGATTTTCATATTTTTCAAGCAAAATGTGTTCTAGCTCAATGGAAATTCAGACTGTGGGGTATTTTGTTCTAACATGTTTCAGTTTGCTTTACTAACTTGTGTGTCATTTGGGAAAACTATCTTTTATCTTTAGGGCATATTGAGTAGATATTTTTTGTAATATGTCAGACTGATCTTCCAAAAATGTGCTTCCATAAGCTGTTCTCTGGAAAGGAAGCAGGATCATAAAAAGAAACAGACAATAATAATCAACCTTTAAATACATGTACAAAACAACCAGTTCTTCAGATGTCTTAAGAATTTCCACTGTCTGTCACAATCTACCCACAGTTAATTTTCCATGGGTTTTTGGGTTGTTTTCATGCATTAAGCACAAAGGCAGTAACATCTTCCACTTTTCTGCCCTTTGAGTGTACAGTGCAGGAGCTCCTTGCATCTGCACCAATTGCACCAGAACAGTTATTGTAGTTTATTCAGTGACAGTCTCTGATATGAACATCTGCACTGCATATGTTTTCTGATCACTCAGCTCAGGGCATACTTAGGGTCTGACTTGACTTAAGGCAGACTTGGCCTTGGAAGGCCAAAGGACATTAGGATGCTGCAGTGTCATACATACCATACTGAACATTTATGTAATAAATAAGACTCCCTAACATTGTAAACATGTTAGGGAGTCTTATTTATTACCATAGATGTTCAGCTTTTTTATTAAAATCCAGTCAAATAGTTCTCTGATGTTTAAAAGTACTAAATATCTGAGCTGCTTTCTTTTCACATTTCATTTTCAATGAAAGGACCACTACAGAGGTTATACATCTCTAAATGCATTTTACACAGGTCAGTTATTTTTGACAGGTAACCAAATCTGATATGTTCTGAGAAGCCAGCTGGTTAGAGTTTGTAGTCTGAATTCAAACTAATGGACTAATCTGTTTTGAAGATTATGATGCTTTTGTAGTTGTTTTACTTCCAATATTAATGATGATTCAAACACCTAGGGTCATTCTCTGATATTTGTGGTTGGCTTTCTCTCCTTTTACTTTCCAGGTTTTTCATGCTGCCCTTGATGGCAAATACATCTATTATATTTCTGAATATGGATTTATATGTATCATATTTTAGCAGGGGTTTTGATTTAAATACTCCTATAGTTCTCCTTATTCTGGATCTCTTTTTACCTGTATGTGAAGGGAATAAAAAGTTTGCCAATAGCAGCTGCTGGTATTTCAGAGCACTTGTATTTGTCATATGCAGTATTGATAGGTGGAAGTGTTTCAGTGCAGTTAAATATTTATGTTCTGTCCTTAAGAGATAAAATCTTCCACCTCAAAATTATTCCTACTCCATGACATTAAAACTTTAAACTCTTTTGGTTACAGTTTTGAGGATATTCTGTGCCTTGCTGATTCCTCATCCTTGTCAGATATCACCCTTGATGGCAATCCAATAGCTCAGGAGACATGGTACAAACACACTGTTCTCCATCATATGATGCAGCTCCGACAGCTAGATATGAAGAGAATCACAGTAAGAAATTTCTGTTTTCATCAAATTTAATAGATACTTCAAATCAGAAGTAAAATGCAGGGATTTCTGTGTGTATGTGTATATTAAAAATACAAACTTTTTTTTCTTAATTTAGTATGGAATTGAATGGTGAATAGACATTACAGTATTTAAAACTCTAACCCTTTTCTTTAGTTCAGTATAAAGTAAGGGTTTGCATTTTTACTTCATTTAACATGTTTATTTTGAAGTGGTTCAACTCCATCAGCAAATGCTGTGTTCAGCTGCCATGTGACATGAGAGAGCCTGCAAAGCTTTTGGTTAGAATTTTCCTAACAGTCTTTGCTGATTTGTTGTATAGCTGAGAAGGGACAGCACATTTCTTCCAAAGTAGTGGTCTGTTTGCCCTAAAACTGCTGTAATTGGTATCCTTTATTTAAGAATTTAATTGGTTTCTTTAATCAGCCTCCCTAGGGAGATCTGGTGATCACATAGGTTGTGTGTCTGTCTGTATTTCTCTCTTCCTAACCTACTCTCCCTGATAATTTCTGTTTCTGCTGCTCAAGTTCAAGTAACCTTGATAAGGGAGAGAGGACTCAGTCTCCTACAGGCTTCTTGAAAATCCACTGCAGGGGATGAAGGACAATCACCAGGGTCTTACCATAATGCCACCTATTTTGTCTTTTAATATAGGATATAAATTCTTTTAATATAGAATACAAATTCTTCTGTGCCTACTCAAAAGTGATGTATAAGCATTTCTTACTAGAGAAATCTGTCCAGCAGCAAGCAACAGTGATACAGTGGTAACTTTTTGGACCAGGTGCTGACACATACACCTTCTTTTAAATGCTCATTTGCTTTGTACAAAGGCTGTACTGCATTGTGAGCTGCAGCTGATGCTTTTTCATAGAGCCAGTTAGGCTGACAAATGTAATGTGTGTGGAAAACATTACTGTTAAAAAGAAAGTGCTTTGGGACATGAGAGTTCTGCTTCCATCATTGAAAATACTAAATACTTGTTTGTTCACAGATATTCTAGGCTTCAGGGGGGTTTGTATTTTATACTGACTTTAATAATAACTTTTATTATGACTTTAAACTGACTTAATAATTGTTAATCACTTTGCTTTTAAAAAGTTGTTTTATCAGTATTATTTCAGAAACTTGAGTTGCATAAAGAAAATATCTCTCCATCTCCCCATTTTAACCCTTGTCAAGAGGGGATGGATCCTGGTGGAAATATCAGTGATAGAGAAAATTGTAGAAAGAGCTCAAACTCCTTTTAGACTCTAGGAGATCTGTATGGGGGGAAAGTTGTCAGAAATTCACAACCATGGGAAGAACATAATCTGGGTTTGCACCTTGTTAAACATCAGAGAATCAACCACAAAGACACAAAGCCATAGAAAACCAGGCTTCACCAGTTGTGCTGCTCATAAACCTACTTGTAAAAATAATGTGTTTTACTCTTTATTTGCCTTCTGGTTTTTGAGCCTTTTAGCATTTTTCTTCACGTAGAGGGTGCCATATATTTTCTCCAATAAAACTGCTACCCAGATAATCGTGTGACTTAAGAAACTGGGATTTAAAGAAAAATAACAAGTATCATGGGATCTGTGGTAAAATTAAAGAGCTGGCAATCCCAAATCCAGCTATTCTGCCTAGCACTGCAATATCTTGTTGCTGTCAGCTCTAAGGTTAGATCTAACCTGGTGGGGTTAGATCTTGCAGTGTTGAGCATGGGACTTGCACTCTTGATTAGTGTAAAAAATAATTACATTTATTTTTTACATACATCTAATTACATTTATAGGATCATTTCCTCATCAGCCTGAAGAACATTTAGGCATTTTGAACTTTAGCATGGCTTTGTCTTGTAAAAAACTAAGAGTTGGATGACTGTTGGGTTTTATTCTGACTAGGAATATTCACTAACTTGTTCAGAAGTTTTCTGCTTAAGAACTGAATTTTGCACAATTATTTGTTCTGATTTTAACTTTTCTTTTACTGAAGGATATTGTCACAAGTTTTTATGAGACTTGGAAGCTTCATTCATGTTTGGTTTCAAGAAGGTACACACTTTGGTGCCAGGCTTTTTCCACAGGATTCCCTGGAGAAAGGAGCCCTAGTGCAAAATGACAACTCTCTCTGCCCGAGGGCACTATTCAGAAACACAGAGGTGCCATGAAAACCAAAGACACTGTACTTGGAATAAAACATTTGTGCACTGTAATTATTTTTAGGTTGGGGTAGATTGTCTTTAGACAAGGGATTGTGTTGAATTATGACAACTCTTAAACCCTGACATGTGTGGAAGCTGATGTTTTCTTAGGCCACCTCATTCCTAAGCCCGTTTTGAATGTAAGATTGAAGCTCTTGAAGCACTGAAGCACAGACCCAGTTGTGATAAAATCAGTGAGATTAAGCACCTGTAATGCTCTTCACTTGTTCATTGTCCACACAAGATGATTTTCAGCTGGAAACCCAACCACTTGGTGTTGTGCACCTGAAACATCAGCTCAATGGAAATCTTTGCTTTCTTGAACCTTTGGTAGCTCAGTCTAAAGGCCTAAAGACCGGGCAGGAGGCTGAATTATTGTAGCTGGATGGACTCCTGTGTTCACTTGTGTGCCTGTCTGTAACTCACAGTTACACCTTCACCTCACCTTAGCTGCATGGTTATGGGACTGGATGAATGGAATGGGCTTCTGCAGAGCCCCACAGTCAGAGCAGGCTCAGGTTGCATTTGTGATTATTTATCTTGGTTAACCTGCCATAATGGTTGTTTTTCTGGGCTCTGAAGATTTTTCACCCTGCTTTGTATGTTGAACTTTTTGAAAAGGGGGCCTGCCCAGTGGTGCTTGCAGTTTGATTGGGACCTATTTCTCTTTTCCCACTCTTTGGTAATAGTAGGAAGAGATTGTCTGCAGATATGTAATAAAGTATTTAAATATGATTGAATATTTAAATACTTTATTTAAGTGTACATATTCCTTACTAAGGAGTTTGGTAAGGAATATGTACACTTTATTAAGTGTACATATTCCTTACTAAGGAGTTACATAACCAGGAACATTTGCTATCCATCACTTCCAACAGACTTTCTCACGAGAATTTGCTAAGTGTGTATATATTCCTATATGTGTGTGTAAATATGATATATAATGCAAATTTTTTTAAATGTTGCCAGATTGAAACACAAGCTGTGTCTTCTTAGAAGTAAAGCTTTGAATTTTTCATTGAGGTTTTATACGTTTTAGAAGCTTAAAATAAGAGAGCTGTGTTTGGTTTTGATTATTTGCTTAGACATTTCATTGCTGATCAGGGAGTAGGTTCTACTGCTCTATCCAGAATAGATTTCATGACTGTATTCCATCACTACCATAAAGTGTTCTGAGGTCTTGGGATCTTTTGGGTTGCTGTGACCCCGAGAATGTTAAAAGTCTCTTTTCCCAGCCCAGGCACTTGAAGAATGAGTTGGAGCTCTTCATTTCTCAGTCTCAAGGTTGTTTATTGTATGTTATCTATAAAATTCTTTCTCCTGCCCTGCTGAGGTCCATCCAGCAGGACAGTTCCAGGCACCCTGCCTGCCCCCAGGGCAGTTTTATGTCTTTATACTAAAAACTACATATACAATGTTTACAATTACTTTCTATACCCATCACCTATGTTAGACAGTGAACTTCTACTCTAAACCAGTCTGTAAGTGCCAACATCACAGCAGAAGATGGAGGCCAAGAATAAGGAGAAAGGCTGGACACACCCAGTTCCCTCCATCTTGCCTCCTGAACCTCCTTACCAAAACCCCTAAAATCTACTTTTCCACCCCATGATAACTTCACTATTATTCTACCTAAACTGTTGTGGCTTGCTGATCTTCATCTAAGGTTGCTAATTTGCTCCATGGGTCATAATCAAACCCACAGGTGTTTCGGTCTCTGTGCCAGGGTCTCTGAGCCCCCTGGCAGGAGTCCTGGCCATCCTGGACAGCCAGAGGGATGTTCTGGGTTCCCACACTGAAGGGTTTATTTTAGGGAGGGATCCCTAACTGTTTTTTTTTTCTTTCCACGGGGAAATAAGACTCTTAAGTGTGACTTAAATCATGTCACTGAAGAATAGCAATGCGGTGGGGAGGAGGAACGCGTGTATCCGCTGCGGTCCGTGCGGATCCTCTCCGGTTCCCCGGGATTGCCTCCCCTCACCGGGCGGGCAGCGGTGGGCGCTGCTGCAGAGCGCGCGGGGGCCGCCAGGGGGCGCCATGGGCACGGCAGAGCCCTCACGGACCGCGGCGGGAACGGACAGAGGCACGGACACGGACACAACCAGCGGGACAGCCGGGGAAACGAGTGACACAGGGCAGGGGCTCCAGCTCTTCCCAAATCCCTTCTTAAAGAGAAGAGATTGCAGGAAAAATGAGTTGTGGCAAGGCTGTGCAGCGATTTGTTTCATAACTTGTTCAGTACTCTGGGGAGTACTTTGTGGGTTCCTGGGAAAGGTGTTTTTTAAGATTGCTTGCATGTGTTGTGTAAGGTTAATCAAGAATGTGTAAGATTAATCAGGAATGCATATGTAGATGTGGCCCTTGATCTTTATTCAGAGATTTTCTCAATCACTCTGCCTTTATGAATACTGAGTAAAGCTAAGGATGTATTTTATTTTTGGATAAACTAGCTTCTTTTAGAAAATAATTAATGTTTTTAAAACGTCTATAATTAGGATAAACTCTTGATCAAGGAAAAAAAGACTTATTCAGTTAATACTCTTGTTAGAATGTAGTTTGCATGGTAGATTTTGATCTTTGTATGGAGGCTGTGTTGGCAAGGAGGGCCCAGGACTGACTTGAGTGGGGGCAGCAGACCCTCCTGCGTGGGAGGCAGTCATAAGGTGCACATCTGGGCTGGATTAAGGGACAGCTTTGGGAAGGACGATAGAGAAAGCAGAGATTTGTAGAAGCTGAGAGAAAACTGATTAGGGAACTTTTGCTTTAAAACTTAGGAAAAAACTACAGCAAGTTGTTTTGAAACAAATAAATTTAATGAAGGCTAGCTGTCTAATAATGGAATTTTGTTTTCTAGCTCTCACCTCCACCAGTGTGAAACACAACACCAGCTCAGTTAGTTTGAAACTGAGTCTGATGAATGGCCAGATGTTTTCTGCCAAATAGAATGGATAGTTTCTGTTCCCTCTTCCTTGGTGGTAAAACTAGCTTGCATTTCTCTGCTTTCTACACACCAGTTTAATATAATCAAACTTCTAGGGAACAGGAAAAGTCCCTTAATTTAAGCCTTCTAAACATTGTTATTTGATATGATCAATGTATTGAAAAGTGATTAGAGAAGATGAAGACAAAGAAATTACTAAAAGCTTGTTTCTTTAGGAAGCCTAGTTTAAAAGCATGGATACACAGTCAAATGAAGCAATTTAATTTAAAAAAAATGCCTGAAACAAATCTAACCTGTTTTCTAAAGAAAGATAGCACTAAAGTAGTTTGCTAGTGTTTCTCTTTTATTTTAAGACTTGAGGTTTTTTACACAAAACACTAAAAGAGTAATGTAATACATAATTGGGATAATGTTTGCAGTTCTTAAAATTCTGAATAATATCTTAAGGAACAGTACATTTTTATTTGTATTATTAATGATGCATTCACATTTGTGACATATTGCCTGCATGGGGTTTAGTTCATTATTTTCACAGCCTTCCCCTGAACTCTCCCATTCAATGCTGGATTTCATTGTGTGGTACTTTGTTGCAGAGGCATCTAGAAGGCCTTCTGTGTCCATGTGTGCTTTATTTTGTTATTCAGTTACTGGTGATCTCCTTTAACATGCACTGGTGAGCTACAGAAGTCCTTCTAACCAGGATTATGCTGTAATTCCATGGCAATAGCCCCTTGGAAATACCCTGTTTAGGAGTAGCTTGAAAGCCCAGTAGCAGAGGAGGCTGCCAACAGAATTTCACCAGTAAAAGACAAGCTGCATTGAGAATAAATAAATTATAAAAAAAAGGGGGCTTTCCAGTTAGTGTTCCAAGGAAATTCTTGCATATAATTGTGTTAGAGAAGCTTACTCTGTCCAAAGCCTCTTGCCTTACTGTGCATTGAGGTACTGCTGTTGTTTAATGTATGATATTAGGTTTAAGTCATGGAGGAACAGTTTGAAAATCTGTTCTTTAACCCCTTTTCAGACTGATGCCAAACTCCATGGTGTGTCAGTGGGTTTCAGGGGGACTGTACACAGATCAGAACAAGTCTGCTACATGCACTGAACTTCTTATGTTTTGGAAATTGTTTTCTTAAAAATGTAATGGCCATGCTAAGTGTGAAGTTCCTGTTTTATTTTATCTTCCAGTAAGCACTCACCCATGTGCTTAGGGGCTCTTACAAGGCTCTAAACACAGCATGTTTTATTTATGTAGGAATTTTGACATGTCAATTTGTCTTACTGGTTGGTGGTGCTTTCTGTTCATTTTTGTTTGTTAATTTTGTTAACATATAACTTTGCTAGAAAATGAAAAGGTTTGGACAGGAGCTTTCTATTTTGAGGAAATGAAAACACTTTTCATATGTTCTGGGAAGAGGCTTCAATAGAAATGCCCAAATGGCATGTGAAGTAAATCAAAATAAGTTAAAGTATGCTTCCCAAATATTTGTGTTGGAAAGAATCTACACTTTTTACTTCATAGTGAACATTTCTTTTGTTACTTGGAAAATATATGTTCTAAAAATACTGTGCTGTGAGAATGTTTAGACTTCTGTAAACAAGGGGCATCCAACCTAATATGGATATATTGCAGTATCAAATTGCTGTACCAGGAAAATGAAGCAGCTTCACTTTCATTGTTTAGAAATCAATGGCTTTCTTCTTGAGACTTCTTCATTAGGCAATAATGTTGATGAGGCATAATGGTCATGGAATAGCTAACATTGAAAATGTTCTGTTGCTGATTGAAAAAAGCCAGGCTCTGGAAATGGCTTATAACAGTGAAAATTAAACACGGATTATGATTCAAGCATAAAAAGAACCCAGCTTTTTTGCTCTGTGTGTTTTTTTACAATAAAAATAATCCTGCTAATTGCAAAAACTACTATCAAGATATGAAGACGTATTGCAGTGTCATATCTAAAAATATTTTTCATGGTCACCATATGCTTTATACTTTTTCAAAGACTCATGTATATTACTTTTAACTAGGTTTATCTTCAGCGTTTTTATCTGAGTAGTTATTTATTCTGTTTTTCTTGACTTATTTATAATTAATTTGATTGGTTTTAATAGTATTTAGAAACATTAAGATGATAAAAATTCTGAAATTGTGTTAAAATGAAAATTTCCATTTCAAATACCAACACAAGAACATAATTTATCAATAATACTTTTCAGAACTGGCTTAGTTCCTCCCTTTAGGCATTTCTTTTTCTTTTTTTCTCCAGGAAGAAGAAAGACGTATGGCATCTATTGCAGCCAGGAAAGAGGAAGAGAGGAAGCGTGAAAGCCACAGACAGACCTTGCTTAAGGTATTGCCTTGGCTGTTCTAAGGCTACTGCAAACCAGTTTACAGAAATCATTTATATCCCTATTTTGGCTGCAGCTATTGTATTATATATCCCAGTATGCCTCTATCTATTTTCACAGCTTCAGCAGTGCACTCCATGACTGACACTCTGTTCAGTCACACGTGCAAGGTACACTTTAGCAGAAAGCCCATGTTGAACACGAGTGTGATACACGTTAGTGGATGGCAAACTTCATTTTCATAAATCCAGGCTAAAGTAAAGGATTCCTCCCGTGATTTCACATTCCTGGGTCTTCCCTTTCCAGGTGAACACTTGGGCTGCAGCCATGCAGGCTGATCTGAAGTAGTTTTTCCTTCATTTTCTCCCGTTGAATTTATTCCTTTCTGTGGATAGAGTGAAGGGGCCCTGAGGGCACAGGCAGGCTCCAGCTGTGTGTCTGTCAGCACAACTCTGATCTGGCTTATCTCCCAGCCCAGCTGGCCTGCTTGGTGCTGACACACACAGACAGAAGTGCCCCACCAGGGGAGACCCTGCTGCCCTCCACAACACTCATCATGGAGCTGTTGACTGCATGAGCTGTGCTTCTCATAGGAGACCAAAGATCCAGAATCTGGCTCCAAATCATCATTTGGCTCCAAATCCCTTTTTTTTGAGGAAAAAGCGGTCTACTTTTTTCTTTAGTGTTTTTTTTGTTTGTTTGTTTGGGTTTTTTTTGGTTTTTTTTTTTTTTTGTTAGCCAGTAATGCCTATACAAACAATCTCTTTCAATTTGGCATTCAAATAAACAAGAAATGTTCATGTCCATATTAAGTTTCCTAGGTAAAATCATATTTCATGAAGGGGATTAGACTGGATTAGTTGCAGGAGGTCATAAGAAGTGTAGGAAACATATAGAACTGAAGAATAAAAAAGACACAAACAGAGTGTTAACAGTATGTTAAAAGATGTTTTAAGTATATCAAAAATCCCCAAGAGAATAGGGGTGAAAAATTTTGTGTCCAGTGAATAAGAATATGTTTTGATTTCTTGCATATTTGTATCCTTGTATATTTCTGTTTGATTAAAAAATATTGATATAATAAAAAAAAGGCTTAGATATGGTTTGAGGGGTGGTTTTGGGTTTTTTAAGCAGTGTGTTTGTTTGGTTTTGCTATTTCTTCTTTCCCTGCAAGATATTGATGTATTGAAAGTCTCTTCAGATTTGAAGTGTTGGTGATAGATCTTAGTAGCATCACAAAATGAAAATTAGTAAATAATTTTCATATATTATATTGTCTCATGCTGTTGAAAATGTCTCTTTGAATAGGAAAAAAAAAGTAGGTATTTATTTGTAGTTCATGTTCTTAACCATTGATGCAATATTTCCTTGTAGCAGAGAGATTGTCTTGGTGGCCTACATTTTGAGGTGCTTTTTGCTAGTGGAAAAATTCCTTAGAAGAAAAAATATTTTTAACACCTAGTGTCATCATTAATAAATTTCAACATTACATTTTAGACTTTAATTTTATCAAAGTATATTTCCTATCTTCAAATAGGTAAGTGGCATAATGGCCAAATACCAATATTTTTCATATTATTTGATGATTTTGTATATTTTCCTTTGTGAATGGGTTGTTATGATTCAGGCTTTTTTCCTGTTCCACCTATTTGAATTAAAGGAACAAATATGCTCATAGATACAATGTCCAGCAAAAAAGTTGTCAACTATAGGTTTCTTCATAGTTAAATCTGAAAAAAACATTTAGAGAATTATGTTCTGCAATTTTTTTACCATCACATTTCTCTAACATCTCTTATGCTATAGAAAATGTAAATGAATTTATCGGCACTCGTTCAGTAGCAAACAATTGCTGTTTTCCTGTATGCACTGCATTGAAAATGTTTATTTCACCAATGTCATCTCTTCTTTTTCCCTTGCTGATACTTGTCGGTCCAAACAACAGAATTTCTTCATCTCCTTTTCCAGACTTCTCTTTTATTGCTTCCAACGCACTCTTCTGGGAAAGTTTGAGATGTACTTTGAAATGTATAGAGAATGACATTCCTTTCCAGTAGTGGTTGAACTTAATATTTACTGGAACAAGAGAAAGTTACTGCTAGCAGAATCTTCACACTTGTAAAGTGTGCTTTATGTAAAAAGAACAGATGGAAATTTTTGAAGTTCTGTAGGAATCCAGCAGCCCACATCTGAGGGCTAACAAAGCAGTAGAGCTGTACAGTAATTGAGGTTGAGACCCTCAGCCTTGAGAACAAACAGAATTTTCCAAAGATTGTTGTGATAAAAAACTCTGATGGTTCCAACTTCCCTCCCTTTGTGACATGGAGATCAGTCATTGTGGAAGTCTGTAAGTGTTGAGCACTAACCAGAGAGCATCAGAACTCCCATGGCAAATGGAACATGAGCTAGAGTTTTGAGCTCTTTAAAATGGAAAAACTTGCACAAGTAGCAGTTTCCATGTCCTAAGTAGCTTAACTTCATGCTTTCATAATTTGTGGATTTATTATGTTACTTTTCTTGTTTCTTTATTGCAAATTTTGTGAAATTATGTTCTGGCACTTATGCAAAATAGCACTAGAACAATGCATTGATTTTAATGCGTAACCACCAGTACAGTTTCTTCAATTTGAAACAATTGAAGATGTTTTGCTTGAGCAGCACATTTCAGACCAAACAAATGAGCTGCTCCTGCCCTGACATGCCTCACGGTGCCCTGTGTTTCTCGTTTCAGGAAAAGAAGCGGTTAACGATCGGTAACATCGCCCGGCAGTGGGAGATCCAGCAGAACCAAATCGCTCTTGAGGCTTCTTTAAACAAAGATAAAGAAAATGAGCCCTGCCAGATCAATGGCAGTGCTGCATTTGTATTTCCTGAAGAAAGCAGGTATTTTATTTGGTGATGCTTTTACCTGTTCAAGTCTTCAGTTCCAGGTTACTGCTTCTCACCACAGAGATCTCGCTGTATTTTGTTATCAAAAGTACAATATATGCACAGCAACCCTGAAAAGATGGCTTACTTTGCTTTTGACCATTAGAAATGAGTAACATGTTTAAAAAGAAATAGAACAGCAACTCATTGCCTAAAGAAGTGCAAGCTAAATTATTATGTGATTTTGCTAAAGAAAGGACAACTTCATGTTTACAAGAAATGTTAAATGTGAATTCCTGAGCCTTCTTGAGGCTGTTCATTTCCTTAACAGCTTAGATTGTTGCCTTCAGTTTAAATGAACAAAATGAAGATGTATGAGCATTATGAAGATTTCTAATCTCTTTGTGTATCAAGAGGTTTCATAGTTGAATTCAGGCTCTTAGTTTGAACTGCAGCATCTTTTATTAGACTGCTTTCACGCCCATGCAATAACAGTAGCAGTTACCAGATTTAGTTTTATTCTCAGGATAATTTTAGTGTTTTTTGGTTTAAAAGATATTATTTTTGCTTATTTACATCTTAAAAAGTGGCCATGTGGTGAGAAACCACTGCAGAACTTAATGAGCAGTGTATGCCTTGGATTGGCTAAAACCAAAGTAGCACTTCAACCTTGGCTAGCTTGGGCAAATGCCTGAAAAAATAGTCTGCACAAATTCAATAGCAAGTACAGCTTCCTGCTGTCCCTGGTCAATGCTGCAAATGTCAGGGATGCTCAAGAAGTCTTTGTCTCTCACAAGCAGAACCCATCTGAGTTTCAGTCTTGTATGGCTAGAACTGGTTCTTATCTCCAATCAAGTGCTACATCTTTTGAAACACTTTTTCCTTAGCATGTTTAAATTGCCATCATCTTTTCTATTCTTGTGCTTCCAAAGGTTTCCCCTGAATGCATTTGCCCATTGCTTTCTTGCTTGCTTGGTTTCTTTGTCATTTAATTCAGTGTTGGTAATCCCTCCCCCAATGACCAAGGCAGTGTAACAATGGTAGCTTGACTGTTTCTCTATTAATGAAGAAATTCCCATTGCTTGAGAAATGATGCTGTTTTGATGTATGTGTTTTATCATAGTGAAGAATTGCAAGATGAGCTACTAAGCAATAAAATTGCAGGTGAAATTCAGAATAGATAAGTAATTAGAGCTTCACATATGAAGTGGTGGGCTCTCAACATTTCCAGTTGAGTGAAATTTTAGAGTTCTGATTCTTATTGAGAATCAGAGATTCTCAATCTGAGAACATCAGATTGCTGCTAGTCAAAATACATTAACAAGACTAAGAATGTGGTAAAGAATAAAATAATAACAGTCATTACATAACTTTCTAAACCTGAAATTTGTGCTTATCCTTAGGTCTTTGTACACTTTAGGTCCAGCCAGCTGAGTGTATCATGTTTGTATCATGTTTGAAGAAGAACAAAAATTCAGGAATACCTGGATTTATTGCTCAATTTAAAAATTGCTCTTGTGAATTGGAAAGGTCACACTATTTGAAAGAAATGCTTGAGTTATTGCTTATGTCCACTTTTACATTTCACATAGCAAACAGAATGTGAAGGGGACATTGCTTAAATAAATACATTGTTTGAAGCTTTGTTTAGATATCTAAAGCAATATGAAACATGCTTGGTTACCATTCTTAGCTCAAATTTTAAAGGCAATTACTAAATATGAATGGACTCTTTTTTTAATTTGACCCCACCACCAACTCAAATACACCCAGACCCTTTCTGCTGAAGAAGTAGAACAAATACAGTGTTACTTGATGGAAGAAGGGTTTTCCAGCCTTTACTGTATTTGAACCAGATGGGGTACTGAAAATGAATACTGAGCAATGCCATTGCATTTGACAGTTGAGTTTTGGTAAAAGAAAGGACTCTTATTTGGTAGAGTGATGATATTATTTCAAAATCATCTCATTTATATCACTGTATTTTTATTTCCTCTACAGATCTCTTGATACAATCCTGAGCAGTGCAGTACAAGGCTTGTCTGTTCTGGAGTCTCATTTAGTGGAGGTGGAAGGGGACACTCTTGGCTTGTATGGTGCTGGGGCACTGGAGTGCCTGGATCGAAACTGGAGTGTTCAAACAGCTGGCATTATTGCCACAGTCTCCTTTATGTTCATAGAATTTGATGAAATTGTTCAAGTGTTAGCAAAAGTGAAGACAAAATTTCCTAACTGTGTGGTGAGCATGCCTCATGTTTCAGCTCTGAACAGCTATGGAATAGGGATTGTCTAATAGAACCTTACTATGGAATATGGATTGTCCAATAGAACCTTACTATGGAATATGGATTGTCCAATAGATCCTTACTGTGGAATATGGATTGTCCAATAGATCCTTACTATGGAATATGGATTGTCCAATAGAACCTTACTATGGAATATGGATTGTCCAATAGATCCTTACTTTGGCATAGCCCCCTCACTAAGTGCTTTCATGTCAATAGATACACTTAAGAATTGCAAATTTCCTTCTGTTATAATGATAACCTTGATACTTTAAATTAAGAATTTAAATTTAGATTTGTTTTCCAACTGATTTTTATTTCTTTTAATTCCTTTGACCTACCTAATTATTTTTAAGTTGCAAAACTTGTGTGTAAATACAGTATTGTTATGAAACCATGGTAGCAGAAAGACTTCATTTGTCTGTCAGTTCAAAGAGCAAATTACTGATAGGATAAAAAGATGAAGATTAGAAGAAATAGCTGACTAAATCAGCACAGTTAATGAAATTCCTCAGTTCTTGATGGAGAAAAGCAACATGAATGAGAAGCCTGTTCAGTTTGTCTCTCTTTTTTTCTTAGTCATTCAAATCAGTCATTTTGATGCAAATAGTAAAATAGAGATAACAAACATTATCTGAGCAAGCAACTTGTAGCTCAGATTGACTGGCTCTGGAGCTCCCTGCTGCTTCTCAAGATTTTGAGTATAACAAAACTTAATAGTTTAATTGAGACTGATCAATTTGTGGGGAGCTCAAGACAAATTTATGTCTTAATGAAACAATTGTTTCACTGTGGGTGGGGGACAATTTGTGGGCGATAGCAGAATCACAACTAAATTTTTACCTTGACCATCAACTTTTCCCACTAGCTCTTCCCACATTAATGCTACTGTGTAGCACACACCATGCTCATAGGAACATTAGTGTAGGGCAGGGTATGCGTTAGGCCAGCACCCTGTGCCTGAAAAGGGAAGAATATTTTAAAGGCATGTATTGTATTTACTTTTATCTGTAGATATTGCAGGTGCTTTACTGTAGAATTAAAGTAGGCATTGTTTAAGTACTATCATTGCTTTATGTAACATTGAAAATATTTCTGCTTTAAGTAAAGAATTTACAAATTGCTTGGGGCTTGTAATGTTGACTTCTCTTAGTATAAATAATACAGCACAAGGTTGATACATTGATGTGTTTTGATAAAGAGACCTCAAATGAAATGAGCTCAGTTGCTTCATCAGACACATGAGTGTTACAGTTTGAAAATGGAGTGGCACAGAATAGAATCATTGTGTTCACTCTTTGTTTCCTTATTTAATTTATTGGGGTTTGACTTTCTTTAGCACCTGAAGTTTAAGGAGACAAATCTTGTGGCACTGCAGCAGTTCAATGCCTTGGCTGAGATGCATCGCATGGAACAGTTGACAGTTGATCCTCAGGGAAATCCAGTTGTCAACTTCACTTTGTGGAAATCCTATGTCCTCTTCAGACTGAACCATTTTAATCTGCAGAAGATAAATGGAGAGAAGGTAGGATGGTGGTGCTTCTTATAATTGCTCTTGCAGGATAAATTAGTGTTGTTTTTAAAAGAGGAGATGAACTTCTAATGAAATGAGCACAACCCTGTCAGTGTCTTTTTGGTATTAGGGGGAAAAAAGATTTAAGTAGACTTCACCATGTAATTTCTTGTGCAATTAATATTAAAATTAATAATATTTAGTAAAATTATGTGAAATTATTATTAAATAACTGCTCAATTTCACTTGATTTTAAGGAGCACTTTTTGAGAAAATCACAGCACTGACATTGAATACTTAAACAGAAATGTGTTTGACAGACTCCATTGTAGTTTACTGTATATGATAATTTACAATTATATACAATAATTATTTACAATTTACATGGAATCATATTTTTTGCTTTAAGCCTGTTACAGGAAAAGTCTGTCAAATAGATTTTTAAAATTTTTTTCTGCTTACTATGTACAAGATCTTTAAGGGTGTATTTTTTGTTGTTGAGTGAGCATTTCATGTTTAAATAAATAGAAAGTTAGGACACTAATATTGCTGTTCTTTGTATACTTTGTATTCCCCTTTACATCAATTGAAATTAAATTTATTCAAGCATATAAACCAGCTATTTTATACTAGGGCTTTGATCATAAAGGGGGTGAAAATAGTTACAATGCAACACAATGTTTGAATGGACATCCAATTTTAAATGCTAAATAAGTTTAAGAGATGTTATGGAAGTTAATTAGAGCAAAAATAATACACAGCTTTAGCGTTTAGATCTGGTATTTTAATTTGGTCATCATCATATGTTTTGGATTAGATATACTTGTTATCTGATCCAGCCAAAGCTGGATGTTGTGGTTTACTTGGTTTTAGTTGTATAAAACATAGATTAGTTGTTCAGAAGAGTAAGAGTGGGTAAAGAGCTTAAATGAATTAACTAGCAAGGTAAGGATGGAAATAGGGCTCACTCCAACAGCACAGTATCTTGAAAAGTAAGAAAATATAGTGATAGTAATCCCATGAAAAATATAGAATAACTTCAAATTTAGTACTTTGCTGGAAAATGCTCTTCAAATTTGACTTAAAAAATAGAAAGTTTATTTCTTTTTTTACTACATCAGGTTTTCAAAATCTGCTAGTGATTCAGATGAAAAGCAAACAGATAATTCTTGTGTTTGGTCTTCATGGAGAAAGAAAGTAACACAACTGTTTTGGTAGACTTTTTGTTACAATCTCAAGGTCAACAAATTCAGTCTCTGAGGGAAAACTTTGTATTTAATAGTTCTTGGGGATTAATTTAGTAAATGGAGCACATGTAGCCCAGCATGATTTTATGTAGGGCATATATCAGATCTTAAATATGTATGACAAGAACATTTTTGTCCTCAACAAACTTTTTCAGCCAGACCACACTACATGAAGATGTGCATACAGATTTTTTTTTCTAGTGTCATTAATCATTTGGAAAGTGCCTTAGCTAAGCAGAAGAAAGAGATGAGCTCTGATTGCTGTTTTTCATTACCCTACAGCAGAAGTCATGATATTCAGCTTTGCAGATGTGTATTACCTATTGGATTAACATGAGTAATAAAAAATTCTATTTCAATGTAAAGAACACAACCCCTGAAGTGATTCTCAGACCTTAGATCAGCCCTAAATAATACTTCCAGATGACAGAAAGGGAAATGTGCATATTCTGCTATTCTGATCACCATTTGTGTGCAGTGTTTGTGGAGACAATATTGTCTTGTCAGCTCTGAGCTACACAGAGTTGCAAAGTAAAAGCAATATATACTAAGTGAATTAACTAAATAAATTGCATCACTCTAGCACTTTTAAACTGTAAAAAACTTATTTAAAAAAACCTTTTATTTTCTCCCCAGCCTTCCCCCACCATTCCAGTTAATATTCCAGGCTAGAAGCTGAGTGTTGGTCTCCCCCTAACAATAATTCTGTGCCCTTGTCCAATTGTTACATTTACTAACTGTGAAGAAGCAAATTGTCTTTATTGAGATACTACATGAAATTCTTCCCAGTGATAGTAATTTCAGATTAATTCTAAACTCAGATTAATTTTAAGCTGTTCAGGTTTGAAGTTACCAAGCCCTCCAGAGCGCTGTCTATACCCTGTGGTATGGAATAGAGTGTGACAGATGCACCCCTTTGCCTGAGCAGGGCTGCTGGCACAGTCAGTGCCTGCTCTGTGCACTTGGCAAGGAGCAGGCACAAAGCCTTACATTTATGTGATACCACCGTTATCATCTTTTTGTGATTAATGGAGCAAGCAATGCACTGCACTAAGATAGAGAACATGAGTTTCTGTGAGCTGGAGACTGTATTCAGCATTGCTGTCTCTGTTGACCTGGTCCTTATGCTTCTCTTAACATAAATAAATACATTAAAATCACTTATTTCTCCAGCAGGCATTTCTGCCTGCACTGGCCTTTGTTTCCCTAGCTGCCTTCTGTGCTCTTTGTTTTAGACCTTGCTTCTGTTGCAGACTGTTCAGCAAGGTCATCTACTCTTAGGCTACTATGTAAGAGTTACTTAATTTTTAAGTGAAAATTAACAACTCCACTGTAAAAATTGAATTGACTTTACATTTCTATTTTCCTGATCTGTGTTTTGACTGAATTTACCCCTGCATTATGCTATTGCAGTATACTTTAGGCAGCGTAGATTGTACAGTCTCTAAACATTACACAAGAATACCATAAAATCTGTTAATGTGGATCAAAATTCCATTTTATGCACACATTTCAATAACAGAGAATACAAAGTTTGTCTGGAAGTGCTTAGTAAATATTGTGAGTATTGAAGTATATTTAATCATGGGTTACTCTCCCAAAGTATGTTATAGGATGAATGGAAATTAAATTTCAACCAGAAATTAAGAAGTCAATGAGTAAGTTTCATTGTCCAGTGTTATCCAGGTCAGATTTTGCGATCATAAAGATTGCTTCTGCACTCAGTACAAAGCCAGGAGCCCAGAAACTGTGCCAAAAAACTTTTGGCAGTTGAAGTCAGTTCATAGTCTGGCCATCAGAGAGAAACACAGGCCGTGGTCTCCAGAGATTACAAGCCAAGACAAACAAAAAGTAGTAACCACCACCACCAAAGAATGAATCTCTTCCACTTTCTTTACACTTTTCAATTTTGTATAAAATGAATCCTGAAAATTTTTCAACCACTGAAAGTTAGCCTAAAGAGCAGCTGGAACTTAATATTGAAACAACAGTATGGTAGACATTTAGAGAAATATAATGAGTGAACACTTATTTTCAGGAGCTGAAAAATACAGAGAAATTTTTTTCCCTCTAAAGCCTCTCTTTTATAAAACCTTTTCCATGATGCTGCCAAAATAAGGGAATCTGTAAGTTATCTTTTCACATGTGCATGCCCAGAATCTTTCTGTTTCTCCAGCATAACTTAATCAGAAATTTTCCAGTAGACCTTTTTGTAAATGCATGCAGTATGGAGCAGAATTAATATGTCTGGCCTTCAGAAAATGAATGTAAGAAACCTTTTTAAAATTCCTCACTTCACGAAGACTATCATGAAGCACAGGGCAACACTAAAATATCCAGAATGACAGGAAATAAAACAAGCACCAGTACCCCATCTGGTTTCTTCTAAAATATATTTAAAGTGCCAGTAGAAGCAAGCCTATGTTTTGAAGATGTGCCTGCAACGGATCTGTGTGCAGTGCTCTATATAACAAATTTCAGTTAATTCTCAATGTACATATGTAATGAAATATGCATGTGCTAATTTTGAAATGTAATTTTTTTCTTTTTTCTCCCCTTCCCACTCTCTCACAGGTTACTGAAAATGACATTGTAAAGGCAGAAAGGCTCTTTGGCATTCTGGCATATGTGGCATCCTCAGAGCTGCCTCATTACCGCATGCTTTCATTATTTGGAGAGTCCAGGTAAAATACAAGAACAGAACAGGAGTTTGTCCAGAATGTGTTGTCTAACTCTTTTGCACACTATTATAATAAATTCATTTTAAGTAAAAAGATGAAAATTTCACAAATGCCATCTTCTAGAAGATAGGTCCTCTGCATAATGCACAGGTGTTACAATCTCCCTATGTAGCCAGAGGCTTTTCCAGACCTTGTATGAAGTCTGCTGAGGAGATGAAAAGGAATATGCACACAAATGAACTGCATGTTCAATTCTGCATTTGTACTGGGATTGCTGAAGACTTGTGGACCTTCATGATGAGAACTGGTTATTTAGTGGGTATTTTATAGTGGATAATTAATGGTTAACAGATTTAAGAGTTGTAGTGTAAAAGAGGCTGCCAAACCCCCCTATTTTTAGTCTTCTATAGAAAACTATGCAGAAATACTTAATAAAAGTTAAAGCTGCAAGACTTCCTATTTAGGAGATGCTATGTGATATCAGAGTCAATTGTTTAGAGACAAATTAATGAAGGGACAAATTAATGTAGAGTCATACGTAATTGAATAACTTGAGGGTGCAAAGTATTTTAAAGCTCAAAAATGAATGTTCAAAAGGAGAACTCCCCCTTCACAACAACTAGAAACATAAGCGCTTAAAAGTTTTTGATAATTAGGATTGTAAATCTCATTTCACAGGAGGAAGCAATTCCATTATCTGCTGGAGGGAAAGGGAAAGAAATCTGGGGTTGGGAGTGAGGAAAATAGTGATAACAGAAGAAGTGGAGGGGAAAGCACAGCTCGAGCAACGTTGAATTACATGACAAAAGATTTTCATATGGAAAAGCTTGAGGTAAATATACCATTACAAAATATTTGCATTTTCTGTTAGGTAACCTTAGGCTACTACTCTTTGAATTTATCTGTATATCAAGTTTCAGTTGGGCTATTAAGAATAGTGATTTTAAAAGAGCCCTTCTTAATGTATTTACATATCTGATCAAACATTTTATCTAACTGATCTTTCCTCACAATACTGGAAAATGCTCAATTTCTGTCTTTGGTGAAGTGATTCCTGAACAGTGCCACGGTCTCAGAAATACATTCTGAACTACAAGCCATATGGAGTGAACACAATTTTTTAGGAAGAAAAATGTATATTGCACATGTTAGATTTTGCCTGAATGAATTGGTGAAGAACACCTTCGGACAACACATGAGATAATGCAGGCTGTAGTAATAAAAAGCTGCTTCCTAGCTTTTAAGTGAGCTACAGGAAAATAAATATATAGGCAAAGTACTAGGTTTAATTATTAATAAAATTGCAAGCTGGCTTGTTTCAGACAAGGACATCAGTCACGCTTGTTTTAGTTTGTGTTTTTGATCTGTTCACTCTTTTGCTTGGGCAGAGGGAAATTGTTCCCAGAGAGAATATGATTTTTTCAGCCACAATCTCCCTTCTAAACAATCATCATGAGTTCTAACTGTAGACACTCTACTTCCCACATTTGTCCCATTGTTTGCTTTTTGATTATGTGGAAATATGTAAATCTTGTAGTGCAAGAAATTATATCAAATTCAGTAATCACTGAATCTTTTATTCCGTTGTGGTTTTATTGTCTCAGATCCACAGCATAAAAAGGAGACCATGACTGCATGTGTGGAGAGTTTATATTAAGAAAATATTTTAGTCTCAAAAATTGTGATAGCTCTTAAATCTTTGAATGACATGGGGTAAGACAGTGAAGTATTCCTGTTGTCCTTTACCATGGAACCAGCCCTATAATAAACTAAAGTGAGTTTAGTATTTGTACAGTCCATTAAATAAACGTGTTGTTTTCTTTTCCCAGTGCAGCAATTCCCACCTTGTCCTTTGCAGTAGCATTATGCCTGTGGCAGCAGGTACTGCAGGGTGTCACAAGAGTATGTCCTGGCAAAAGGAACCCTTCCAGATCCCCAGCAGCAGTAAACTAACATCACAAATGTGGCTGAGGAAGTGTATTGCTAAAGATGACAGGCTTGGGTCTTTGACTAATAATTTGGGGTTTTAGCTGACACTGCTGGAAAGCATTTTCTCACCTTTATTAGTCATTAAAAACTTTTGTTTTGGTGGCCTGAAGCATGACCTAACATTTTTAACAATGCTGCCATTGTGCCAAATAGCTATATATTAGCTATATATTTAGCTTAAGGCATTTTATAGGAACTTTGCAGAAGCAAGGATTAATACAGTTTGATGTACTAAAACTGAGAGCTAGTAGTTACACAAAACACAGTATCTTTTTATTATTTTTTAAAGTTCAGCTTACTTCAGTATCTAATGTAATACACATTAGGAACCAGCACTTGCCAGGGTGACTGTGGAAAAGGATGAGTACTGGGATGTTTTTCTATGACCATGTTCTTGTTAGGGCACGTAGAGAAATATCTACTTTTCAACTGTTGTACTGTAAGGATGAAATTCTGGGAAGGGAGAGAAGGAAAAGTAGTTTAGTGTTTAATAATTTCTGTACATTTTCACTGCTATGCCAGAGAGCAACACAAACTGTAATGCTGTTAACAGGTATTTATATAATTACTTGAAAGTTAATTTCAGATAAATTAATTATTTAATATAGTAGGAATATTATGAATACATTAAGGTATTGTGGCCACACTCATAAAAGTGAGTGGGCCATGCAACTTAAAACCAGGGGGAGAAAGTGCACAATAGCATCTGCCAGCTAATTGCTGTTGTTTCATTCATTCAATTTTTGAGAGGGTTTTTGTGGATTTGCTCTTGTTTAGCCTTTTTTTCCTTTTTTTTATACATTGTGTAATTTCCTCTTATGCAGGAAATCAAAGAAAGAAAAACATTTTGCCAGACATACGTTGAGAACTTAGTGAAAGAAGCAGCTGACATCAATATGAAGAATGAATCCTTGCAGAAGCTCTGGCCTCAGCTGTTCATTGAGCTTGTCAGAGATGCAGTGCTGGAAATCCGCAATAAAAACTCCTACATGAAACTCTGCCTCCAGAGGATCACTGAGCAGAAGCAGTAGAGTCTTGCAGGCTTTTGGTTCATTATTCTCTCATGTTTTACAAACTTAAACCAATAGAATATGAAATAATCATCACTAGGGCATCCTTCACTTCCTCCCCACAAAGGGATGCCTTTAAATCTTACTTAACTCTGATTATTTTTGAAATGAAAGTTTACTTTGATACTGCTTTGCCAATGCTTCCTTGGCTATCTAAAGTGATAGCAAAGAAATGACTTGGTGATTGTTCTACTAAAAGTTCTTGTTTATTATTTTCTGTCACCCTTGATTCTGTAGTGCTACAGCATTGATTTTTAAGGAACAAATTTACAAAGTTTGCCTTATTTTTATTGAACACTTTTCAATTGTCACTTTTTTGACTGCTGCTGTTTAAAAACCCCAAGAATAGTAGCTAAATTTTTTTATGACCGGAACCTAATAAATTATTTTACACCCTGAACTCAATGAAGACTTATTATTATTCTTTAATTTGTCAGATTATAGAACACTTTTGCACATGAGAGTGCTCAGAATGTTGACATTTAATCAGCCTAATTCTCAACTGGACAAATTGCCCAAACTCAATTTCAAGTGTTTTTTGTTAATGTTACTAAGATTGTGTAAATTGTTATAGGTAAAATATGATTCCAGGGTGTTCTTACTTGAGCTTTATTTTTGTTTTGTTAAAATATGTTAATATAATTTATTTTGTTTCTTGATTACTAACTTATTAACTTCTGAGATTTGCCAAGATCAAATGAGCTAAAATGCATGCATTACATTTGGTAGGGAGACTGATAACTGCTATTCAGTTGTAATTCATTTCTGTGACTCTGTGAAAATTTCATAATATCAATAAAAATAAATTATTCACTTTTACCTTTCACAGATACTATAAAGAAGTACTGTATACAAAGAAAAGTCTTAATGCTGCATGAAGAGATGAGACACAACTTGCCCCAAAATCAACTGAAAGGGGAGAAAAAACCTCATTCCATAGCACAGTACCTGCCACAATAAACAGCTTGCCAGCTTCTGTCCAGAAATTGAATCTAGGAAGCCTTAGCAAGTCCAGATGATTGCCATGGATGGCATTCAGATGCAGGTAGATAGTTGTGCCATTTAAATGTAATTTTTTAGTTCCATTGTATCTTAACTAAAACAATCCAAAACCTTTGTGCTTTTTTTACTTAATTAAAACTGTTCTTATTTTACTTGGGCTCATTTATAAAAAAGAAACTAAAGAAAATTTCCTGCAAAGATTTCTATGACTCAAAGGTAAGTTTATTTTTAAACTGTATCTAGAAGGTATTTTCTGTCAAAGCAGAGATGCAGATACAGTTTAATAAGTTTTTATGCCCAGAAAATCATGGAAGTTTTGGGTTGGAATGGACTTTAAAGACCATCTAGTTCCAATGCTCTGCCAGAGGCAGAGACATTTTCCGCTAGACCAGATTGCCCAAAGCCATGTCTAGCCTGGCCTTGAACACTTCCAGGGATGGGGCATCCAGAGCTTCTCTGGGCAACCTGGGCTGGGGCCTCACCACCCTCACTCAATTTCTTCCATAAATCCAATCTAAATCTTCCCTCTTTCATTTCAAGCCATTCCCCCTTGTGCTGTCACCTCATGCCCTTGTTCCAATGCCCTCTCCAGCTCTCTTGGAGCCCTCATGGGCACTGGAAGGTGCTTTAAGGTCTCTTGTGCCTCTTGTCCAGGCTGAGCAGACCAAGCCCCCTGAGCTTTAAATGAGTACAGGAATTGAATGGTCACAGGTGTTTTGGAGAGTTCAGCCTGCTTGCATTCAGGTCAGGGTGATACATCTCTGTTGTTGGGGGGAATCCAATTTCAGAGCATGTGACAGGTTAGCAGTGATGTGGGTACATCACTGATAAATGCCATTTTCCACTTGGTTCATGTTATATTTGCAGGTAGTTGCTTTTCAGCCTGCAGAATGTAGTGGAGGTTAAGTCATTTAAATTCTAAGGGAGTGTTAGAATTCCTGGAGAAACTGCTCTGGCAGTTGATAGAATTTAATAGAAACAATCACCTATCTGGGTTTTTTGAACTGCCTCATGGAATTTATAATAAGATTAGTTTATTTGGTGGGATTTTTGTTTCCATCCTATTGGAAAATTGCACTCTCAATTTTTATAGCGCGTTTTATTAAAGGAACAAATTAGGGCCCTGCAAAATGTAAGAAAAGGAGAGTTTACATTAGAGAAAGAGCCAGTGTAGAAATGATCATGCAATAGGTTTTTGTATCTATCATTTTCTTGACATAATTTCTGTGCCAAGGGGGTGCATGAAGCAATTCCAGCTTCTGCAGGGGGACAGAAAGCTCAGCAGCTGTGTGGAAGTGCAGAGCTCTCCTGATGATGTACTGGAACAGATGGGCCCCTTTTGAATCAGATTCAGCAGCAGTAAAAGAGTGGAAAAAAATGTTTTAAGAAGGTTGTATTGGTCTAGAGGAACAGGAAGTCCTCCATGGGAAAATCAAGAGAAAAGCCAGACTTTCTGATACTGAATCTTTAGAAGCATAATCCTGGTTTGAGGCTTTAAGGTAGGGTCTTGAAAAAATGAATCAGAGGGTATTGATGGGGAGTTGTAGAAACATCTTAAAATGCTCTGTATTCCCAGTGGTCTGTGAATGCTGCCAGTTTGGACTTTTTTCACTACCAGCAGCTGTTTCATAACAGGATTGCTAAATGGCTGAAGTCAGGGTAGGTAGGCAGCTCTTATAAATGAAGAAAAGATTAATGTTGGGCTCATATGTTCTTTTCACATAAAAACAGTAGGGAAAAAAAAAAAAGGAACTTACATTTTCACTAATTCTTTTTAGGGAACAAGTGATAAATTAAAGTGATATTAGGCCTAAGAATACATAGAATTTACAGCAGATGGAGGATCTTAAAATTGTTAGCATGCTAGATGTTGTTTTTGTGGTTGCCCAAATAATATCTTAATTCATACAGACTCATGAAATACATTCCTGTAGTTGCTTAGTACCTAAAAATGTGAAGGTCATATAAGCAGCAAATTTTTAGATGTTCTGAAACTTAAGTGCCACAAGCAGGAACTTTGTATGGCTACAGATGCAAATTGATGAGTTAAAATAGCAATTAATATTGAAATTAGGGAACCTTTTAATAAAACCTTCCAGTCTGAAAGCAGTTCTTTTTTTCTTCTTCAAAAGCCTTTAAATGCTGCATAAAACCAAATTTTGGTGTTGTTAATATTTCACTGATATCCCATCCAAAGTAAACTGTGATCCTCTCCTGTAGCTGACTTCTGCACAAGACAGGAACTATTACTGTAAAATATCTGAATGATAACTAGAAATCACCTTGAGGGTTAAAAAGATACTGTTTAAAGTCCTTTGCAAAGTCTTGGGGTTCATTTTTGGATTATTTATGCAATTTGCTTCTTTCCTGAGACAAATTTCTTCTGTGTCCAGCCAAAAGCAGATAATGATGTAGGATAGTTTGCTCAGTTTCAGTTTAGCTGTTTCACACACGAAGGCCCCATTATGTCATGCAGAGTCACTGTTTGTTACACAACTGAAATTTGATCTTCAGTAAGGAGACTGATGAGGAGCTGTATTTTGTACATTCCTTCTAATACAGAATCTGAAAAAGTAATGGAGCTGCATATTTGCTGCCACAGTGGAGCAGGGAGAACAAATTCACTTGATGCAAACCAAAAGCTGATGCTGTCAGGTAGGAAGAAAAAGGTACTGGGAAAAAGCTTTAACTGAGCACAGAAGTGACACTGCCACACTGCCTGGGACCAAGGGACACATCTGAATCCAGAAACAGCTGAAAAGTGTTTTCCATTATAGAAAAGTGAATTATCTTCTTCCACTGCTCCAAATGTATTTTTATCATGTAAACTACATAAAATAATGGCAATAATAAAAAGGTTAACCTATTAAAACAGATCTACACATGAAGTTAGGCTACTGTGGAGACAGTAGTGACTCCACAATCTATGTATGCATTCCATAATTTCAGGACAAGTGGATGCTTTATTAACCAGAACTGTGGGCTGTAAAAGTGACAATGATGTTTCCAGTTTCTGCTTTTTCACAGCGACACATCAGGATGAATTGGGTTTTCTTCGCTGCTTTATTTTAAGAAGCTAAGGCAAATATTTGCTATTTCTTCTTATTATGTCATAGTCATAAATATGTGATTTAGATTGGGAGGTCAAAATCACAATAGCAGCTATTTGGTTTGATTAAGAAAGCAGACTGCTTGGATGTTTTTCTGTTTCCATATCACACAAACTCTGCTACATCTTGAAGCCCAGTTCCAGTGAAATTATTTTTCTTTTTAAGTTGGAGGCATCAGATTTCGGAGGTTTGTTAAGTCTTGGTTCTTGCTACATATGTATAGAACAAGGAGTGGGAAGGAAGAGACTGGCTGTCACTTTGTTCTACTGTCTGATGAGGTGGCTTTTACTCCAAAGTGAATATAAATTGATTTATTTTTTGCATGTAAATAGGAGTTAGTGCCAACTTGAGACAATGTTACAGAAAGCTGAGAAGTATCTGCTTACACACATCACCTCAGAGCTGGATTTTCTTGAGCATGAGCTAAAAAATGGAATCTAAGGAACTGTTTATTCAGCCAAAGTATTAACTTTGTTGGCAAGCCTTGCTAGGCTTCTGCTCTCGGGGGAAGAAGGAAAAGCTCATCTGGAGGAACTCTTGTCTCTGTTTGCTGTGGGGAAAAAACCATTTTTTTACAGACTGTGTGTTGAGCCTTATATGCCATATTTCTGTACAGATGGAGTGGACAGACATTTCTGCTTATTGTATCAAACATAAGGAAACACTGGTGAAGAGCTGAGAAGTCTTAATGGGGGAAAGAGTGACTCTTCTCAAATTTAAATTGTGTGGTTTTGGTGGGATTTTTTTTCAGTTATGGATAGATGTGTTACAAGCAGAAACAAATTTGACTGATGTAAGTACACTGAGTGTATGGAAAAGTAGAAAACTGAAAGTTAGAATGTTTATAACAAATCCAGGATTAGAAGCATCCAGCATGCTCAGGAAATGGATTTATACAAGATAACCCCATTGTCCTTACTACTGATACATTGGCTTGAGGAGGCCCTTATGGGTAGTAGCTCTATCCAGCTTTTTGGAAAATCCAAACTGATGCCTTCCTGATTGCTGTGGGCTTTGGTTGATTGGTGCACTATAAAATAATGTGATCAGGACAGCAGAATCATATTTCTTGGTGCCAAATTGTGTTAGTCAATGGCATGACAATTCTTAATCCCATTTTTGTTGCAATCTTCCCAATTAGGTAGGTACTTGCATACTAAGGAAAATCTTGTGTGCAATCTTCATTCTTATATAGTGCATGGCATGGGGTGTATTACTGCATCCATAACTTGGACATTTTCCACTTTCAAATTATTTCTTTCACTTCTGTTTGTGTAATATGGGTATTCTAGAGGTTAAAAGCTGTAATTAGCAATATTCCATTTTAAACTTAACAAAACTGGAACTTTTAGGGAAGACTGAGCAGATCATTAAAAAGTGCATTCCTTCTGGAATTCTAGACATGGATAGCATAAACAGCATTGACTTTTTCAAAACAGCAAGAATGACAGCTTTCAAGAGTACAGGTGATAATGCAAAGCTTTTTTGTATGTAGTGTTGAGCACTTGACACTTCAGCACAGGAGAAGATGTCCCAGAATGATAATGGCTTCCATCTATTTATAAATGTATCTTTAGACAAGAGATTGTAATGTTAATTCTGACTGCAGTGGTGAAGAAATTGTGGCTGTGAATGTGATGTTTGTCCTACATGCTCACATAGTCTAGACATTTTACTTGGTCATGCAAATAACAGTGGTCGCAACCAATAAAAGAAATCATTGCAATATGTAGAGAAGCTGTGACTTTCCAGTGATAAAAAATGCTGAGTTCATTGATTAGATATTATATGACACTTAGAAATTATACTGTGATACAATATGTGCTGTGGTTTGTGTTCTAGTTGGATATGTAGCACATTTGCTGCCTGTTTGCATTAGGCTTCAATGATCTATGCTTCCTCACAAAATAATCATTCTCAAGAGTGATGAAAGAAGACAGAATACAGCTTTTCTCAATTTCTAACTCAGCACTGACAATAGGGTCTATTAGGCTTCATACAACTCTTGTATAAAATCCTTGTGTTAGAGCTCTCAGAGTC